ATCCGTAACGTACCGGCTAACGGTATTTAGCTAGGTTTTCGAAAAGGTCAATTAACCAATCATGTACGGTTAATAGATCACATGCTCCTCCATGTACCGAAAACAGGTCACGTGCTCCTCCATGCATCAAAAATTAAATGCGTACCAATACCCTGCGGGCTCCGGCCCGCAGGGAATGATATGTTGAGAACCACAATGGAAATATATGTATACATTTGCTTTAACTCTGTTTTATTAATTTTTTATTAGTTATTGACTAAAATCTAATCGTGTCTAAGTGGCCGAGTTGTGAAAGTCGTTGACTTAATACAACTTGAACCTCGTTGCTGTGGGTTCGAACTCCGACATGGACTTTTAATCTCCATCAATAAAACTGTCATAATTATGACTTTTGACATAAAACCCAATCAAAACAAATTATAGTGTCAAAAATAACAGTTTTCAAATGTGTAAGTAGCAGGTCTCGTAAATTAATACAACTACTACATTATGTTTCATTGTAGACTCTTGTGATGAATGAATTATTTTGACAATTATTATAGATGTATTTTGTTGGAATAACGCTTAACTTAGTAATCCCTTTTATACCATACTTTGATTTACTGAGATTTTTTATTGTTCAACACCTAAAAATTTGACATTGATTATTTTTCTTATTTTTTAGCTGAGTGTTCTTTTGTCACATTACTTTAATGATTTTTTTTAAATTAAAACAATGTAGATCAGACAACCGTTAAGTTAGGACACGATGCGCCACCACACATGGCATCAACGACAACATTTCGGTTCCTAGTCTCCAAACCACCTGCACAACTACGGGTACATTCGCTCCATATACTCCATTCTGTAACCTTAAAATACAGATTTTACTTTACTTACTTAAAAAAGATAACACAGGCAGACAGAAAATCAAATTTATCAATTGCAGCATAATTGACTTGGTGACGAAACCCTTGCTTCTTGATAAGCTTGACCTATCAATTTTCGCATATCATTAGCTTTCATTTCTATCGTATAAATACTTCTCTTCTTAATAGAGAGTATTAATATGTTAATGTAAGAAGAGAATATTTAAAGACAGTGAAATGAAACTGCCATATGAACACATCTGCGTGCGCTTCTTATTTTTCAAATTCTCACCATTTCTTTATACTAAAAAGATCCGTTCTACACAAGCCGGTGCTAAGGGCTGTGGTCTGTAGCTTGCCTTTACCACTACCTCGAATCAACCCAAGCCTTAATCATTTCCTATTTTGTCGTTTTTGCGTTCTTTAAGGATTCTAAACTATCTATTTCAAATAAGGCCTATGCTATTAGTTATAAAGATTCCTGACAGGTTATATGGTCCTGTATAAACGGTTGTTTGTACATATAACCGGAGCCGCAAGGCGAGGGTTATATTGCAAACAACCGTTTATATTCGGCCATATAAGCCGTACACAATCTTTATAACGAATTTATAATACTGCAAACTTCCTTTTTTAGAGAAAAAATTGAGATGTCTTTCTAAATTGACAGCAGCCGTGTAAATAAAACTTTATAATACTGCACGTTTGTAACTTCATTTTTCATTGGATAATCGTGACGTTTATATTATTAGTTATAAAGATCGTTGACAGGTTATATGGCCCTATATAAACGGCTGTTTGTAAATATAACCCGAGCCGCTAGGCGAGGGTTATATTGCAAACAACCGTTTATATACGGCCATATAACCTGTCAACGATCTTTATAACGAATTTATAATTTATAATACAGCAAGCATCATTTTTAGAGAAAAAAAAGTAAGATTTCTTCATGAATCGACAGCAGCCGTGTATATAAAACTTTATAATAATGCACGTTTGTAACGTCGCTTTTCATTGGATAATCGTGACGTTTATATAAACGTCTCGATTATCCAATGAAAAGTGACGTTACAAACGTGCAGTATTATAATTTTAGTTATAAAGATTCCTGACAGGTTATATGGTCCTATATAAACGGCTGTTTGCATATTTAACCAGAGTCACAAGGCGAGGGTTATATTGCAAGTAATTGTTTACATACGGCCATATAACATGTCCATGATGTCAGGAATCTTTTCTGTGACAACGAATTTATAATACAGCAAACTTCCTCTTTTACAGGAGAAATTATATTCTTTACAAATTAAAAGCAGTCGTGTATATAGAACAATATTAAACGTCACGATTATCCAATGAAAAATGACGTTACAAACGTGCAGTATTATAATGACTGATTTGTACATATTGCTTCTGTAGATATTCATATCTTATAAACTATTTCTTCTTTGAACAATATGAGCTACTTTCAATTATTTTAGATTGTGTCAACAGCGTGTTATTTCTATGTTGTGCATATTAACTATGTTTTACCTCACAATCACGTTTGGCAGAATAAGATTCGCATGGTTTGTCTTCACGTGTTTTATTACTTGGACACTCTCCTCCGCAATATGCTGGAGAGATCAGTTCTCTGCTCCTTGTCGAGACCCCATTACCACAAGAGTTCGAACACGAAGACCAACCACTCCATTCAGTTAGCTTGCAGTCCATGACCTCAGTTACTAAGCAACCACGTGACTGAACAAGGTCAGTCGGACAAAACGTTCCTCTACATGACGGCCAAGATTCTATAGATCGGGTACGATAACTGAAGACAAATTAATTTTAAATAGTTTCAAGCAAGTCAATGGATTATATTTGAGCGTTTTTATTTATTTATTTTTTTTTATTATTATTTATTTATTTATACAATGAAGCCGTCATGGATTGTTAACGTCCCTGACTTCAAACCATTGCCTCTGATTAAAACCTGTCAAAAGATTTTGATTTGTTAATGTGAGGAAACCTTCCAGCTATCTGAAAGCCTACCTAACGAATGGTCAGTGGTTCTACTCAGGTACCTGCTTGTGCCTAAAATAATGCGTGGACATCTCCTGAAAACTAGTTAAGCTTAACAGCCGCAAAATGACCTGAACAGTTACGGTATGACTTTAGACCCAACCAACGAAGTCAATCTACAGTTTATTTTATGTGGCAAACGATATTTGTGAAGCGAAACATAAACATCATTTACGCAAGTAAACATGCTTCATTAACTAAAATGTCTATTTACATGAAAGAATTTTTTTAATTTTTTTTAGAAACATAGGTTGCCCATTTATTTCCCTGTAATTGGTGCAATGGGGTCGGAGAGCTATCCCCTACTGTACCTCACATTAATATTTCATAGCATATATCATCATATGTTTAAAACATTTAAGTGACATTAAGCTCAATTTTTCAATGTCAAGTTGAGCTACATGAAAGAATTTGATTGTTTTGAATTGGTAAAGCCTAATATCAAATGGGTATAATAAGTGAAAACATATACAGTTTGGACTTAAGTATCCATTATTGTAAGTGTCAGTGTTATTATCAGTGTCTTCACTAATGAATGTTTTAATTAAAAAGTAGTCACTAATGGGTAATTGACATTTTCAGGTTAAAAGGTGCATACAATAAGTAAGAAGAAAATAAACAAAATACATGTTTTTGTTATCTCAATTTATTAATAAATCATTAACAATAAGATATGTAAATAACAATTCAAATCTTCTTAGCCTTTCTATCTCTATCCTAAAATGGAAAAAAAAAACGAAATAAAAAAGTGACATTATAACCTTAATACTAGTATTTTACGATAACATTTTCATACTTCATTTTATGTACTACTAATATATACATTATGAAATGTTCACAACAGAGTATCTTTTGAAAATGATTTCATTTTGTTCTTTAGACTAATTTCTGCTAGTGAATATTTCTTCAATGAACTAACCGTTCAATATGATGTGTTACAGTACACACTAAGAATTCCAAATGCTGAACCAAAACCCTCCTCCTCATCCTCTGACTGCTCCTCCTTCTTGTCAGCAACATTACCATCATCAGCAGCATCATCAGCAACATAAGCATCATCAGCAGCATCATCAGAAACATAAGTATCATCAGCAAAATCATCAGCAACATTACCATCATCGGCAACATTACCATCATCGGCAACATAAGCATCATCAGAAACATTAGCATTGTCAGTAACATTAGCATTATCAGCAATATTAGCATCATCTGCAACAGCAGCATCATCTGCACCATAAGCATCATCATCTGCAATATAAACATCATAAGAAACATCATCGGCAACATTAGCATCATCAGCAACATTAGCATCATCAGTAACATTAGCATTATCAGCAACATTAGCATCATCTGCAACAGCAGCAGCATCTGCAACAGCAGCAGCATCCGCACCATAAGCATCATCATCTGCAATATTAGCATCATCAGAAACATCATCAGCAACATTAGCATCATCAGCAACATCATCTGCAACATTAGCATCATCAGAAACATCATTAGCAACATTAGCATCATCAGAAACATCATTAGCAACATTAGCATCATCCGCAACATCATCAGCAACATTAGCATCATCAGAATCATCATCAGCAACATTAGCATCATCTGCAACAGCAACATCATCAGCAACAGCAGCGTCATCAGCAACATCATCAGCGACATCATCAGGAACAAGAGAATCATCAGCAACATCATAATCAACATAAGCATCATCATTAACATTAGCATCATCAGAAACATCATCTGCAACAGCAGAATCATCAGCAACATCATCAGCAACATTAGCATCATCAGCAACATCATCTGCACCAGCAGCATCATCAGCAACATAAGCATCGTCAGCAACATCATCAGCAACATTAGCATCATCAGCAACATTATCTGCAACTGCAGCATCATCAGCAACATTAGCAACATCAAAAGCATCATAATCAACAACATCAGCAGCAACATTATCAGCACTATTAGCATCATCAGCAACATCATCAGCAACAACTAGTTTGCCACTTTTTACTCCTTCAATGCAATCAACTTCGTAATTATCATCACTGTTGCCGTGATTTTTAAACTCGCTACTTGTTTTCTCTTCTTTGATCATTTCGCTACATTTATCTCCTTTCGCATCTTTATTTGACCAGACAACCACTCTTTCCATTCGGTACCGAAGCTTACAGTCGTGCAAGTACAGAAGCTTGGGTTAAGTCTCTTGGTAAGTACCTTCATCTTTGGAGGTGTCGACGAATTTGGCGGCCCTGTAAATACATAGACACGGTTTCTTTAAATATATGATTTATTACAGATTTGTGAACAAACTGTAACTGTTTAAAATACACGTGTTTATTTGTCAAAATATAAATCAAAACAATAAAGGATTTGAATTGAATTAAAACTTTGTTGTTTGTAAAGGACATTTGACCAAATTATAATTTGTCTGAAGAAGGAGGGCGTAAGAAACATCCTAACTTTTATTAATGCAGTTATCAAATGATAAAAAGTTTATCATAAAAAAGACGTTTCAAGACATAGAGGGAAAATATTTAAATGAAGCTTCCTGTAAGACTGACCCCTTAAATGGATATCATCAGATCTTTCCGAATCAAGCTGACCATATGACCTATTAAAAAGCCCCTTGTTACCAAATGTGATCACTCTTTGAGGTTAAGTATAGCTGAATCATTTTAACCGCGTCACGACAAAACCAACATAATGGGTTTGGGACCAGCATGGATCCAGACCAGCCTGCGCATCCGCGCAGTCTGATCAGGATCCATGCGGTTCGCTTACAAACAGTATAGCAAGTGGAGAACTGATAGCGAACAGCATGGATCCTGATCAGAGTGCGCGGATGCGCAGGCTGGTCTGGATCCATGCTGGTCGCAAACCCATTATGTTGGTTTTGTCGTGACGCGGCTTATTTAATAATTACTGAGCGAAAATAATCGAAAGCAAGACGGATCTTTTACTTTGTATGGTTAATAAAGCTGCGAGCTTTGAAAACATAAGATAGCTCCATAAAATCATTCTCCAGGCATTTCTTAGAAAGGAGTTGCCCGGCATATTTTCGGAAGAATTTCAGCGTTGATTATTGTATTAAGGGCAGGAGAGAAGAACAGCTCGACTAAACCAAAATATAAGAACAAATAAAGCGAATCTTACTTTAAAACAAAAAAAAATATTTTGAAATAACATTTTATTCTCTGGTTCGAGCTATATATTTACCATAACATATTTATATCATCATGATAACGTGTTTGAATTAATGCTACAACTATTAACAACTATTCATAGACAGATTTAAACGCTTACAAGTCTTATTATGAATAATGGTATATAAAAAAGACCGTCATGTTATCATTTTTATAAATAATAAGTTTATTGTTTAATGCGCTCTTTACTGGAGCTTGATTATGTTTATAATAAACATTGAGTATACTGACATAATCTAAATGTATACACTTACGGTAATGAATGTTGTAGAGCAGATTGGGTTTGTACGAATTGTCTCGTGGGTCTTCCATACCCTGATCGGCAAAATATTGTCGGAACATTTTACTGTGTAGTTCTGTTTTCGAGTAAAAGATTCGTTGCTACGCCGCTGTGAAAACGTTACGTTATTGTGACGTTTTCACTTTGTTGACGTAACAAAACAAACATCATAATCACGTTATAAACAGAGACATATCAAATGGCGTTGAGTGCAAATAAAAAGTAGTCTTTCATCGTGGCCGTATTCAAATATTATCCATTTATAATCAAATGATGATGATTTCAATCTTGATGAAATAAACATTTAAGTACGCATTATTTAGTATCAGTGTTTACCTTAATCCTTGTCCGCATTTCGAAGAACAGTATCCCCAGTCTGACCACTCGGTTACTTTACAGTCTCTCCTACAACAAGGACCACTGCATGGCCTAGTTTCACTAAAGTTTCCACATTGCTGTCCATGACATGATGGCGGAATTATAACGGAGCGTGTACGGGATTTAGTGCCATCACCACAAAATCCGTTATCTAGGTAACAATCCGACCATGCAGCCCATGGTGATAACTGAAATTTAAGTTTTCTATTGAAAAATTAAAATGATAAGATATTTGTATGCGGAAATTTTACTTTCCGAACAACGCATGCATTGGGTAAAATTTACGAATGTTGGTCTTAAATAAATTGCCGCCGAAGCAAATATTGTACAATATTTCTTTTTAATTCTTATTACACGTGTACCTCTAACTAATTGATATTAGTACGTGTATACATGAATATATGAGCTTTATATTGACATTTATAATGACAAAAAATAATTCAATTAAATTATGCACTTTCATGACGTGTATCAGTATTATATAACAACTTTCACGTGCCTCGCAATCCACATTGAAATAATTCGTGCATGTTCTAGTTTCTTGTTCAACAGGTTCCTCCGTACATGGTTCCCCACCACATACTGGTAGCTGCACGTGTCTGTTAAGAATAGAACATAATTATCTGGTTACCTTGCCATTATGCGATTAGGTACAGTACGAAAAGACATGCCAGATTGCATAAAGAAACGTAATAAAGCGTAACGAATTTTAAGATATTATCTACCTTCGACATTACATTAGATTAGAGCCTATCAATTCTTATAGAAAGTTATTTGAAACAAAATACTAATGTTTTGAAGAAAGACACACACACAACATATATATTTATTTAATCTTCATTACTCTGTTGTGTTATAAAGTTCAACAATTTTGTAAGTTTTACATCTTATGTATTACACAAAGCTGCTTAAGTTAAAGACGCCGACATCAAATCACTTTCCCCTTCAAAATCACCATGTATAGGTTCGGATCCCGTCAGGGACTTTTGAATGGGAAGAAGCTATCCGGCTGGCTTATTGAAGATTCGGAAGTTCTACTCAAGAACCCGCTCGTGCATAAAATAATGCACGCAGGAAAACAGGGATTCCTCCATTCCTTCACGAGTAAAGCTGGCAAGTTGCAATATGACCTTGAGAAAGTCCATGAGTTTCTTAATCCAACAAAACGAAATAAAATAATAAATAAAACGTCATTCGAGCCACAAGATAAAAAATAGAAATAAGAAATAGTAATATAGTAAAAATATATATGAATTGTTAAGAAAATACTAAGTTTACCTTGTTCGGACTTGCAAGGCTTCTCCACACGTGCTTTCACAACTACTCCATTCACTCCAATCCCCGAGCACGCAATGAACAGGACAACATTTGCCCATGCACGTGACAGTCTCCTTCATGTTTTGGCAGGGTTTCCCACCGCAAGCAGCGTCTTGAATAACTCCTCGCGTGCGGTTCTTGGTACCTATTTGCCCACACGGAGCTGAAACAGAACTAGTATGGTTTAACGTTATCAATTACTACATATCAATTATCTTTACTTTCAAATAAAATTTTATTGGATACACTAGCATAGGTAAGATGGAAAATTCAACGAAGAACACCTAACAAGACCATACATTTTGTATTGAAAATGTTGCAGTTTTAGTTTGATTGATCATGAATAGTAGTGATAAATGTTAGCTACTGTCCACTCGCCCCTAACACCTGCTTAAGCAGAAGTCAACAAAACTTATTTATGTTTACCAAATGAATAAGGTTGTGGAGTAACAAAAAATAGAATTTCATTATGTGATCAAGCTCCATAAGCTAATTACCCTTGCCATACATTTGTAAAAATGAAATACAAATCAAAATGGTTCGATTAAAATCTTGCACATTGAGATAACACAGATTTTGAAAGACACTTGTACCATCACATTCGCTCCAATCTGTCCACCAACCGGGAATACAATCACGATAACAACAAAGGTATCCACATTGTATATTTGTCGTCTGCTCGTCACAATAGCCTCCGCATGCAGAGTCTGTAAGCTTTCTGCGCTTTCTGGTACATTTGAACCTTTCCCCTTCACCATCACAGCCATCTTCTGTACACGAGCACGAATCCCAGCTCGACCATTTAGTATAGGTGCAATCAACCGGGCAGCACTTCCGGTTACAATTTTCATTTTCCTCTATATCAAATGGACACGTGCCTCCACATTCAGCCTTTTGAAAAACAACGCGTGTACGAGTTCGGGAACCATACTCTCCACATGAATGTGTACATCCGATCCAATGGTTCCACTCACTTACAACACAATCAATTGGTGGTCCACATTCTTGAACAGTTACAAACAAAATGGAATTTATGAAACAAAGCACTGAGACATATTTTGATACATATGCTGCCATTTTATATTTTAGAAAACTTATTTAAAATCAAGTGGATGAATATCCATACTATTTACCCTGGTTTCGAAAAAGAAAAACAGTTAAATTCATTCTGAATGTTCAGTGATATTTTCCATGAGGATGAGCGTCATGAAAATATATTTTATGTATGTAAATTGATTGTAGATACTTTCCTCAAATGTGAACTTGACAGCATCACCTTGTTTTTCTGAAGTTACACTCTTTCAAAAATAGCACCAGATGTTGCTACAACCAATTAAGTTACACAGGCGGGTTTCAATAACTAACAGTTCACAGTCTGCATTCATGCATTAATACGTTTCTTTTAGTCCCAAATCGATACTTATACGGTCACGCTTGTATAGATGGGACTATTTAACAGTGGCGACATATATATATTTTTTATGGATTTCTATCAATAAGAATGTCACATGTACATGTTTATGTTCAAATGTCAACGAAGGCCTTTTCGCTCATTTATGAATGTTCTAGAGTTATGGCTCTTGTTTTAGCTGTATGCATTTGTTTTGTTGGTCGTTAAAAAGACCAACTATTAGGAACTAGCAAAGTCTATATATAGTTGATATAAGTATACTTGATAGATCGATAGACTTGAACTAAATCATTTTTATGTTTTCTCGTTGTATAGACCTATATCCTTGGCGGGGATGTTTCGTATACTGCTATAGGTTCTGTCTGTTTCTTTTTGTTGGAAAGAGATCCTTAGGCATATTCTCTTACTTTTATCATTATAATAAGAAAAAGTATCATTATAATGCAAAATTTAGTGCAATCACCCGATATATTTATTGAAAAAGAATATCAAATTAACTCATATTTCAAATAACATTATCATAAGAAATATATGAAGATAAGATATCTAGAACATAGTACGATGGTGAAATCGCGATGTCGCGATGGTACGATGGTGAAAACGCGATGATATATTGCGTTTTCACCATCGTACCATCGCGCCATCGCGTTTTCACCATATCGTACCATCGCGTTTTCACCATCGTACCATCGCGCTTTCACCATCGTACCATCGCGTTTTCATCATCGTGCCATCGCATTTTCATCATCGCGCCATCGCGTTTTCACCATATCGTACCATCGCGTTTTCACCTTCGTACCATCGCGTTTTCAACATCGTGCTATTGCGTTTTCACCATCGTACCATCGTGCATCGCGGGTACAGACAAAATAAAAAATCACGTTTGTCCAAACGGAACACCGTAGAAATCAAAGTAAGTACTAGCAAATCTAATGAGAGCGCACACCCTTCGAATCCGCTACCATAGATCAATACAAACAAAAAATCATATAATGAAATAACATTCAGGTATAAAGTTCTGACCTTAAATAAACAGGAAAATGCATAAACTAAGCATCTATATAATTTTGAAAATTACCCACTTGCCTAACACTGGTCAGAGCTCTGCCCTGGACCATTGGGTTAACTCCCAAAGTACAGTTTCAGTACTGTCAATTTTAGTCAAGCCACACTCCTTCGTTTTAAATATTTGCATTGGGTTTACCACTGTCTATATATGAACTAACCAAGCCTTTCCTCCTCTAAAATCCTAGATCCGCTGCTTATAAATAGGACTTCATGATTTAAAAAAAATGTAATTGTAGCCTATTCGGGAATAATTATATTCATTAATGACTTGATTTAATGAATTCTAGTGAATTATGTTAAGCCAGCCTTACATATTTTACATACATCATCTGAATTAAACCAAAGCCTAATTTCTTTTACTCTTCTGGTGTGAAAATACAAACCAATAATTCGATCGGAACGTCCTCGGCTATAATATAATAACCTCGGAGTTAATACGGATTTATCAAAATGCCTCCGTGGCCGAGTGCTTAACATCGCTGACTTGAGATCATGTAGGTCCCTCACCGCTGTAGGGTCGATCCTCACTCGGGTCAAAATCTTTCATGTGAGGAAGACATCCAGCTGGCTTACGGAAGGTCGGTGGTTCTACCCAGGTGCCCGCTCGTGCTGAAATAATGCCCTGAGGGGCACCTGGTCTTCCTCCACCAATAAAGCTGGTAATTAATCGACGAAAAAAATCTCGGCGGGACGCTCTAGGATGGCCCGACTTGAGTATACGGTAGCCCATATGGGCTTTCCGGCGGCGACCTTAATTAAACGCATTAAAAAAACGGATTGAAAGTAGTTCTACCATGAGGTTTCAGATGTAAACAAAAACAGAGAGTGTAATCTTCGATAATGTATTTTTTAACGAATGTATATAAATCTATTTATTTTAGGTGGGCATTTACTTGATATGTTGGAAATAAACTTGTCAACAACTCCCAGCATTAAATAACTATTTGTTTACATGACGTCTAGTTTCTTAGCGTAGGTTAGATCGAAATACCTGTGTATTCAGGTCCTTATCCGAAGACTGACGGAAAGGGCCGAAATGTTGCGATTTTTGAATTCTCATTTGAAATATGGCGGGAAAAATGACAGATATGACGTCATCAACGAAATGACGTTGTCAGTATTTACCATAATACCGGAAGGAATGATGACAACGAGTTTGAGAATGAAAGTAAAATGAAATTGCAGTTTTGGATTCCTGTTTTTATTTTTTTCTGCATTTTAAATCCAGGTATGATATTTGATTTATTTCATTGGAGATGTTTGAATTGACGAAATTGAAGACCTTGCCTAGAAATATACAGGTGTTAGAATCTGTTTGCATTTTTAAGTTTTTGAAAACAACTTACACCACGGGCACGGGGTGGAACCCCATGGATACGGATCACAAAATTGAGCATCGGTAAAAAGTACACTATATGTAAATTTGCACTGATCCATATGTGCACTATAACACCAAATGTGAAGCAGAAAATATACAGGGTAAGTTTTGCTGGTCAAAATTATCGTCAACTCTACATCGTACGTCGGCGCAATCACACTTGAGTCTTGATTATAACGCGACTGGTGGTGCTAGGTCAAGACAAAGAAATATACAAGAAATGATAGAAAGTTAGAAGAGGTTGGATAGGTCAAAAGAAAGAGATATAGACAAAAAGTCTGGCCAGCTACATTTCGCCTCTTCATCCCAAACCTCTCCGGTTACGGTGGCCGCGGCCGGCACAGCCTTGGATATCACTAGTGGGTACTTGTAGCTGGGCCCCTAATGGCGGATTAGAATGTGAGGGATTATAACCCCTGCTTGAAGGATACCAAGTCAGGGGCCTCTGCAACGGGGGCAGGTAGGCTGTTCCAGGTTGTGGCTGTACGAGGGAAGAAGGAGTTCTTGTAGTACGCTGTAGATGTGGATGGTAGATGGAACTTCTTGGAGTGGTCACTTCTAGTGCGGCTCGGGGCAGGGGTGAGATAATCGTTGACTGGTATGTCCACAAGGTCATTGGTGATCTTGAACATCATGGTCAGCTGGGCTTTGGTTCGCCGTGACTCTAATGTCTCCCACCCCAATTGTTGGATCATGGAGGATACGCTGCTTGTGTTGTGGTAACGGTTCGTCACATATCTTGCAGCTCTCCTATGTTGTGAAATAGAAAACGATCTACAAGACAACGATTCATTTTCACATAATAATTGAATAGTCCAATCTTAAGGAAAAATTAAGGTTTCCTAGCTTTTGCTGTTAGTCCATTAGTCCGTGTGTTTGGTAATATTAAATAACACTAGATCAATAGACAAACTATCTTGTGCTAGCAATAGAAATCAAATAAATGCTAAACATACCGAGTATACTGTATAAAAATATTGACACGGAGCGAAATACTATACTCGTATGTTAATTTCCCTCCGAGGACAAGCCAAACTGCATGCAATATATCAAACAGCTGACAAATTATATTGACAAAATCTGTGTAAAGCTATGCTCCTATCATATGATATATTTTTCCATAAATTATTTTAATCCATATAGAAAACGTCACTTCAAGATTCCACAATTTTTTTATCAAGCTAATTTAATAGGTTTTCACTCACAGGCACACGTGTTTTCTTATTGAGTGTCATGGTAAACTTCATTAAAAACTGTCCCCAAAAGAAATATTCTACTCTTGTGTCGACTAAACAAAGCAAAATCAAATATTTATTTAATATTTGAAAGACCATATTAATGAAGAATCATGAACTTATTAATCAAATCTATTTATAATTTTGGCAACAAACTGTTATTGTAACATAATCATAAGAGTTTATAATCAACACATCAACTTACCGATAGGTACTTTTATTTGAAGAAATTGGAGTTATTTATTTTGTCGTGGGGGAGCTGAATAAAAGTAACGTGTTATATTGGTCGGTATTCTATAATATTTCCGTTTTAGTTTGATTTTTGTAAATGATATTCAATAAATATTTTACTATGGCGATACGATCCATGCCAAATACTAATATGGTAATAAGAGGTGGAATATTTTAAAATTATTTAAATGAAACAAGTGACAATAGCGTTTTTCTTCCTCAAACCGTTATTAGCATAAGTGAAAATATATAAGCTCCCTGAGTGTACGTTTGAAATAATCATTGACTTCCAAACATAGCTGTAATCAACGCTTTAAGTAAATCTTTTTTATGGATGATGAATTCAAGCTCGACTTGGGACGATTTGTAATGCTAATGTTTCTTCTTTTAAAGACCCGTTATGCGTTAGAAATGCTTTTATTTTTCTTTCTCAAAATCAAAAGCTTTTTAATTTTGGTATACTTTAATAAAATCCAAATAGTTACACATTGACCAATTATCTGAACCATCATTTTCATCTGTCACTAAGTAGCTCGCACGAGATAATTAAGTCGTGCGCATTACTAAGTCGTGTGCACGAGATAATTAAGTCATGCGCACGAACTATTATGTCGTGCGCACGAGATAGTTAAACGTGCGCACGATTTATTAAGTCTTTCAGTAAAGCTAGAAAGTCGCAATATGACCTTTACTGCATGTGTTGATGCGACGTAAAACCATACCCCCCCCCCCATAAAAATGAGGTAATTTTTTTTCGAGGCTCTCTTGAGGGGCAATGCCAATTATTTATTCACAGTAGCCGCATCAGATATTCATTAAAGTATTGTAAAAATGATGTTAGAATTTATTGACAATTGTAACATATTCATACAAATATCATAAACACTCAATGACTTTTATGGTCTTTACCAACTTTTTCATCCAATGAGAATGACTAAATTTGAAATTTTCGTACTGTCTATTTCGCATAAACTATCCTCATTAGCGTTTAATAAACATCAAGTCTAAGGGTAAACACTACGTGTGTCTACAAAAAGGTCAATGGCTAAGTTAGTTAGACACTTACAAAAAAGGTTTTTAACCTCTTGATTAATTAATAAGCTAATATCGCTCTTACGTCGCTCTTTTCGAGCTGTTTAAATTGTTACCATTACATTATATTTCAGATTATATTAGCACTAAGGAACTTTCCTCTTACATAACAAAGCAGACGCACTCCACCCTGGAAGGATGTGCAAAGTCCTGTCTGAAGCGGGTAGATATCAGCTGTAAATACTTCAAGTATATCAAGGCAACCCATACGTGCTACCTCTCTTCAAAGAACAGTCCTAATTTCAATCTGTCTAAGAAAAAAGTTCAAAAAGGTATGTGACAATGGCACATTTGATTACAATTTGTTTTTGTTATGAATTCATAATTGTAACCTTAAAAGTAGTATTAGGGCCTATTAGATATTTTTTAAAGTAGTAGAACTGTAGAACATTACATCTTCTGCAGAATGATATGAAATTATCAAATGTAATGTCATTATCACGTCTGTAACAAACGTCTTTCATTAAAGTTGACGTTACCAACATTCCAATATTCGGCTGATTTTTTTATTGTACCAAAGACTATACAGTAGTATGTTGCCTCAAATTTCTAACGTAAAATAAAAGAGATTTGTATTTCTGATATCAATATGGTTTTAATACTCAAATGTAATTGAGCGTTGGATTGTGAACCGGGCGACCCGGGTTCGATTTCCGTGCAGGTCACTTTCGTTGTGATTGATCATGAAATCCGTTCTACGATCATTCGCACTATACCTCTGCTCTGACATGTACAGAAGTTATCAGTTCCTTTCGAAAGTGTAGGCAACTTGCACTTCTTGACAGCCTGTCCCTAGATACTTGAACTTCATAAACTACCCCTGTGTCTGAACTCCAGTGTGACTTACTGTCGTGATCCGTATTGTTTGTGAACTAATAATAATTTTTTCATTATAAATGTTTATCTGAAAGTATCAACAACGAAGCAAACTCCCAAACCAACAGTACCAACAACAACCAAAATAACAACCACAACACCATTAAAACCATCGACAGTGACGTCAACAACAAAGCCAACTCTTAAAACAGCGAAACCACCCATCAAAAGTAAACTTTATCGCAAATCAAAGAAGTTCCTGAAAGGCTTTAAACTAATAGAGAACAAAAGGAAACTGAAGGTTTGATATTTTTCGTTTTTAAAATTTTAAAAATGTCTACGACATACAGTATTAACTGTTGTGGCGACTCAGTGATAAGTTGATAACTGTCCTTGTTTTATTCTTCAGACGTTTAATCTGTAATTATGAATTCACAGATAACATGGGATATAGTTGAAAAAAAATATTTTAGCTCTGCTATTTCTATTAAGATAAATAGAGAATATTGAATGAGTGTAGATTTAATACTGAATATATTGAATGAGTTAAATAAAAATATATTATGCGAGCCTCTGGCGAGCATGATAATTGAGCCGCGCCATGACAAAACTAACACAATGGGTTTGCGACCAGCATGGATCTATACAAGCCTGCGCATCCGCGCAGTCTGATCAGGATCCATGCTGTTCGCTTACAAACCCTATAACAAGTAGAGAAACTGATAGCGAAAAGCATTGATCCTGATGCGCAGGATGCTCTGGATTCATGCTGGTCGCAAAACCATTATGTTGGTTTTGTTGTGACGCGGCTCATATTATTTTATTCAACGAGTTCAATGAATTTAGTATTAAACTTACAGGAATCTAATATTCCATTTATTACATACCAAATTCAGTCCTCGACACTAACTTTTTCATCAGGTGGTAAGCAGGACCACTAGATTTGAAATTAAGGTGGTCCTTTCAGAAGTCAAGTGGTCAATTATTATCATATCAAATACTGCAAGTTTAGAAAAAAGTATGCTTAAAATTGATGACAAAGATGTATTATTAACCTTTAAAGAAAACAGACATTTTAGATATATATTTTTATCTTATCATAAATTAAGGAGAGCAAGTTAGTAGGTATTCTGTCGTGAAGTTATTTGTTGTTGTTTTTTCATAGCTCATTCAAAAATACACAACAGGGCTCTTATTTATGTTAACTTTTATATTGAAGTGATTTCTCCCTCAACTCAAGTTAGGGAATAGTGAAACCATTTGTGTCTGTTTTTTTTTCTTACTGTTATTCAAATATTCATTGCTGATACATGGTACGTCTTATAATCATGATAATTACATGTATCTTTTAAAAATTTACATTTTTAATAAAAACTAATAAATTATCTTAAAACAAGGAAATATCTAAAGGATTAAAAATAAAAACAACTTATATATAATTAAGTTTAGCTTATTTTTCTCACAGATTTATTATTATTACATAATTTTTACCGCCCTGTTGCTTGTTGGTTGATATTTATTTTTTACATTGAGTATTTTTAACCTTTTATTTAAAAAAAGTAATTTTAACTCTGGAAGAAACGGATCTCTTATCGTTAAACAGTTAAAATAAAGATAACTAGCAAAGAATTACTAGATGTATTTTTTCCAGTTCCTTTAGTTTGCTGTCATTATTCATGTATATGAAATTTAAAGTTCATACAGTATCCCATACAATATCATAATTACCATTGTCGGATACCAACGTATGATTATCATATAGCACAACATAAATGTTAAAGGTTACACCGTGGTAATCCGACGATGCATCATTACTAGCATCATTTGAATGCAATTTGTACCTAGCTTAATATCACAAATTCTTAACTCTTTTAACTTGCATAGACAAAATTTTAGCAACTCAAAATGAAAGTTATTGATGATTTAAGACCATCTTTAACTAATCAGATTAATCTATTAATGAACAATATACATGTTCATAGGACAAATGGTTTTAAACAAAATGTATATAACATGTTTTTGACCAAATCGCCATTCTCTCAAATGAGCCTTGCACAAACCAGAAAATTCAAGTGGTCCGACGGACCAGTGCATTTTAAAATTAGGTGGTCCTTGCCAAAATTAGGTGGTCTCGGACCAACGGACCACCGCTAATGTCGAGGCCTGCCAAAAATAAAGACCGTTTTAAGTGAAAAAAAAATTTTTGACGCGCTTATAGTGTCGCACTAACATTTAGCGCGTCTTTACGTCACGTAAAAATATATGCAAGGCCGTGCAATACCATTTTTACGGAGTCACAAAATCGGCACGGGTATGTGATAATAATATTATTTATCACTAATGAGATATAATACCCGGTAGAAGGAAAGGGTTACAAATAAAATGTAACCAAAGAGAGATTTATCGTATATTTTTCTTTTTTTCAAGGAGGTGAACAACAAGCTGAAAGACATCTCAAATTTTGTAAAACAAAAGGAGGCTTCAGACGCAAAGCTGAATAAAAGTAAGAAACTAGTTACGTAGCGTCCTAATTAATACGCTGATATTGCATGTACCTGTATGTTACATTGTATTAACACTGAGGAACATTTAGAATAAAAAAAAGCCTGTGAGTTTATTTATTTTAGAGTTCTGCCAATGATATGGTTCATAGTGTTGCCTGCATTGTAACAAAAAAAGAGAGAGAGATAAATAATTTACTGATGATTTTATAGTAAATATAAACTTTCGGTATAAATACATTATTAAATAGAGGATATTTGTTTATTACATGTTTTTCGGTGGTTTATAGAAATATATCAGTGATATAAAACTGGTAATTTCACTGTTTGAAACAGTGAAATTACCACTTTGATAATTTCACTGTTTTGAATTTAAGCCCCTAACGTTGTTTCAGTGAAATACCAGCATGTACAGTACTGGGAACCATCTTAATGACGTGACTTCGTAAATGACGTCACGTTGTATTATTATGTGGCGCGCTTTTTATTCAGTATTAGGTTTAATGTCTTTTTAAAACGTTTCTTTGCATATAATAAAAAGAAAATTTGTTTAGTTTAGTGTGAGATCGAAATATATTTCACCTTGTGAACACCAAAAGTTCATATTTCACTCGTGGCTGCGCCACTCGTGAAATATACCTTTTGGTGCTCACTCGGTGAATTATATTCCGATCTTACACTGAACTAAACAAATATCCTCTATTTGTTTTGCATGTAAGATTGAAATATAATTTCACTGAGTGAACACCAGATGTAATATTTTCACGAGTGGCGTAGCCACGAGTGAAAATATGATAGCTGGTGTTCACGAATGAAATATATAGAGGATATTCAAGTTTTTTCTATAAATACATGATTTATTTTCATCGAGTGGTATGAAAATAAATATTTCATGAGTGGCGGTAGCCACGAGTGAAATATGATAATTTTCATGCCACAAGATGAAAATAAATCATGTATTTATAGTTAAAAACTTGAATTTTCTGTTTATTATATATACATTTTTTCTCTGTCTGGACATTAAAATTTGAAAGACTTTCCCTTAATTTTTGAGTACTGGCACAATTGTAAAGAAACTAGTCCGGCAAGACACCAGTGAAAATACGGAAAATATGTTTCACTGCAGTGAAAAATAAATTTTTACAGTGAAAATACGGAAAATGAATATACGCATTTTATTTCATCAATATTTCTCAATATTTCATTTAAAAGTATAAAATAAATTTCAATCTTATATGTAAAACAAATAAATTTTCTTTTTATTTCATGCTTTTTAAGTCATTTTAAGTATTTTGTTACTGATTTTGCCGCGTAACGTCACGCATTCGCCTTTGTGACGTCATCATATCATGACGTCACATCATCAATTTTGAAATATAGTTCTGTTAAATTTCTCTAATTTTGTTACATTTTTAACATGATGTATGATGACATCGACTTTCTTTTCCTAGAGAAGCAAAATTTACGCATGACAGCATTTATTTCTGCCTGTTATTCCATTTAGTTATGATTTTCTTTTCATCCGCAGTCAGATATAGTCCGGCTACAGTGAAAATTATATTTTATAAATTTCACTAGTGGTTTATCAGAATATAATCATCTGATATATAACAATAAAACACTGGAAAGCATGAAATAAGATTTTATACTCCATTTTATCATTTCGTTAAGTCTTATTAAAAATTTCTTAAAAATATCGTGCGTCTTTAAGAATGCATACGGTAATTTTATCACAAAAAATTACATTGATACATAATTTTGCTCACTATTGCTTTGAAACCTTTTGCAAGAAATTTAATTAATTGATTTATTTATTTATTTTATCATTCATAACAATTTGGTGCCAGATAAATAAGGATAAATGCATCCATTTTTTTTCTTTCAGAATTATCTTCCAAGGTCGGGAAGCAAGCAAAAGAACTGAGCTTGAATAGTAAATTTTTAAGAAAGCTCATCTTACATACTGCTGCCCTCAAAAAACATTATGCTCAACTGCATATTTACCAAAAAAGTCTCCGCGGAAAGATTCATGACGTCATGATGGAAAATAGGAAAATGTCTCAGAAACTGAAGGCACTGCATAAAAGTAACAGCAAATTGGCATATAAAAATGCTAGGTTCCGGAAGGTGTTCCATAAACTATGGTTCAGCAATAACAAAATATTGAAAAGAATTTTGTTGCTTTATAGACTTGTAAAAAGGAACCATGTAAGACCTTAAATACCGTAATACTTTTTTAATTAAATTTTGCAAATAAATTTTTTTCTACTGAAACAAAGATAAACAATTTTTATATTCAAGTGAATAATTTTTTGGCAAGAAATGACATACAAACACATTAAAAAGTAATCTTTTTATAAAGGGACTAGAGGTTATTTTGTATTGATAATATATTTCCTGTGTTGCATTTGAACTCAATATTTCATGAAAATTAGTGTCACTTCATTTGGTGCTATTTCATTACAGTAGCATATGAATCAACTTCATCATCCTGAGGAGGCAGTTTTATTCTTAAATGCGCTGAAATAACGTCATTTTAAATGCACGCGATCCATGCAGATGAAATGGCATGGAAACACCAGTCTGATATGCAAAAGAAAAAATCATAATCATCAACCATTTACATTTTCTATGCATACTGGTATACACAAGATTGGAAGTGTAATAGCTTTACTATATTGTGTTTCAAGGTCCATTTATATTTTGATGATGATTTAGAAAATATTTTGATGATAATTTAGAAAATAAATTTAATATCTTTATTTCAAATGTTCAGAAAATGATTCCAAAACATCTGAAGAAATACCTGGCAGCGCTTGCTGTTTCAGCAATGAAGTATGGAACCATGAACAACCAGATCAAGAAGATTGTACGAGGCCTTCTTACATTGAAAATCACTGGGAACACCAATACGAAAGCTGAACTTCATATAATCAAACATATTGGTAAAATGTCGAAGTCAATGCAGGTGCTGAAGTTGGCATTAACACGTTTAGCATCCACCGTGGTAAACAATTTTTTCGACTTTACAAGATTTTTCTTTCTTTGTTTTAAGTGAAATATCTTATTTTATTTCATGATTTTCAGTGGTTTATAGAAATTTATTACATGCTTTTCGATGGTTTATAGAAATATATCAGTGAATTAAAACTGCTAATTTCACTGTTTTTCTTCTTTCTTTTTTTTCATGCTTTCTAAGTGATTTTATGTATTTTTTACTGATTTTGCCGCGTAACGTCGCGCATTATGCTTTGTGACGTCATCACATCATGACGTCACATCATCAATTTTGAAATATAGTTCTGTTAAATTTCTCTAATTTTGTTACATTTTTTACATGATGTATGGTGACATCGACTTTCTTTTCCTAAAGAAGCAAAATTTACGCATGACAGTTATTATTTCTGCCTGTTATTCCATTTTGTTATGATTCTCTTTTCATCCGCATTCAGATATAGTCCGGCTACAGTGAAAATTATATCTTATAAATTTCACTAGTGGTTTATCAGAATTTATTTCATGCTTTCCAGTGTTCTATTGTAATATATCAGATGATTATATTCTGATAAACCATAGTGAAATTTATAAAATATAATTTTCACTGTAGCCGGACTATATCTGAATGCGGATGAAAAGAAAATTATAACTAAATGGAATAATAGGCAGAATTAAATGCCGTCGTGCGTAAATTTTGCTTCTTTAGGAAAAGAAAGTCGATGTAATCATACATCATGTTAAAAATGTAACAAAATAAGAGAAATTTAACAGACCTATATTTCAAAATTGATTATATGACGTCTTGATGTGATGACGTCACAAAGGAGAATGCGTGACGTTACGCGGCAAAATCAGTACAAAAGTACTTAAAATCACTTAAAAAGCATGAAATAAAAAGAAAATTTATTTGTTTTACATATGAGATTGAAATATATTTCATTCGTGAACACCAGCTATTATATTTTCACTCGTGGCTACGCCACTCGTGAAAATATTGCATCTGGTGTTCACTCAGTGAAATTATATTTCAATCTTACATGCAAAACAAACAAATATCCTCTATATAATCATCTGATATATTACAATAAAACACTGGAAAGCATGAACTAAAAACGTACACAGAACTGGAAACCAACTTAATAAAGTGACGTCGTAAATGACATCATGTTGTATAATTATTTGGCGCGCTATTCATTTAATATTTGGTAAAAATGTCCTTTTTAACGTTTGTTTGCATATAATAAAAAGAAAATTTGTTTAGTTTAGTGTAAGATCGAAATATATTTCACCGAGTGAGCACCAAAAGGTATATTTCACGAGTGGCGCAGTTTCAAACAATGAAATTATCAATTTGATAATTTCCAATGAAATTATCAATTTGATAATTTCATTTTTTTAATTTAAGCGGCTTAATTTTACGGCTTAATGGCGTGACGTCATAAATGACGCCACGTTTTATTATTATTTGGCGCGCTTTTCATTTAGTATTAGGTTAAAATGTCTTTTTAAACATTTCTCTGCATATAATAAAAAGAAAATTTGTTTCGTTTAGTGTAAGATTGGAATTTATTTCATGCTTTCCAGTGTTTTATTGTAATATATCAGATGATTATATTCTGATAAACCACTAGTGAAATTTATAAAATATAATTTTCACTGTAGCCGGACTTTATCTGAATGCGGATGAAAAGAAAATCAAAACTGAATGGAATAACAGGCAAAAATAAATGCCGTCATGCGTAAATTTTGCTTCTTTCGGAAAAGAAAGTCGATGTCACCAGATATTATGTTAAAAATGTAACAAAATTAGAGAAATTTAACAGAACTATATTTCAAACTTGTTGATGTGACGTCATGATGTGATGACGTCACAAAGGAGAATGCGCGACGTTACGCGGCAAAATCAGTAAAAATTACTTAAATTACTGAAAACGCATGGAATAAAAAGAAAATTTATTTGTTTTACATATAAGATTGAAATATATTTCATTCGTGAACACCAGCTATTATATTTTCACTCGTGGCTACGCCACTCGTGAAAATATTGCATCTGGTGTTCACTCAGTGAAATTATATTTCAATCTTACATGCAAAACAAACAAATATCCTCTATATATTTCACCTCGTGAACACCAAAAGTTCATATTTCACTAGTGACTGCGCCACTCGTAAAATATACCTTTTGGTGCTCACTCCGATCTTACACTGAACTGAACAAATATCCTCTATCTAATACGACCTCGTCTCATCATCATCTGTTTTACAAGTATTCTCTGTATTTTTGTGTGTCTAGGTGACTCAGATCAAGTTACAGAAGATCTCGGCAAAAAAAGCATATGTAATACCAGTGTTGCTTAAAATCCAGAAACGAATTGCGCTGCAGTTACGAAAGATGAGGCGAAAAAATCAGATATTCTATCGACTTTTTTCGAAAACGATGACACAAATCCGAAAGGTAAATCCTTGCATATCACACTGATGTTTTTGATATATATTTTACATATGCTGGAATGACGGACATTTTATCCTTAGGAAATGGGGACTTTATTCTTGGGGAGGGTGTGTCGGGTGTTCCAGACCTGGGCGCATTTTTGTGAATAAGATGCGTGCTTAAGATAAAGGTGTAAATTCCTATGCTACTATAAAAAATGTAATGGATAAAAAAATATAAGTTTCGTCGAAAATTGTAAAGAAAAAAGAAACATGTTTGCGGTTCCAGTCAGCAATACCGTCACTTTCCCTTGGTAACTGATCAGTGGCAGTAACTCGACAAGCCTCGTTACCGACCAATGGACAAGCGCCTTCGGGCCGGATATTCCGATTCGAACTGCAATAATTACAACATATTATCAATCATTCGAGATCAACTAAGTAATTGAAATACTCCATAACAATTAGAGAAACTGATAGCGAACAGCATGGATGCGCAGGCTGGTCTGGATCCATGCTGGTCGCAAACACATAATGTTGGTTTTGTCATGGCGCGGCTCAATTTATTACACAATATGACACTTTTTACAGGATGAAGCAGCGAAACATGACCAGCTGACAAGAAAGATACACACCAAATTTTCTCAGTTAGATCAGACTGTTCCAAAGTTACAGAAACAAGTCCGACACTTACAGATGCTTATGGTAATTATCAGTGCATTTAAATTTCATTTTTCATACGTATTAGGTTTTAGTTCTCGGTCGGTCACATCGTGTTCAAATTCGCTATAAAAATACATTTCCTTCAAACATAAGAGACATTGGCATTGCCTTGGTATTGCATTTACACCTGAACTTGACTATTTAGTGCATAATCAAGGGAGAGCACCGGATTTGGTAAGACGAAATTGATCTCTGACATTTAGACTAATGGTCATTTGTCTTGTTATTTCATTTGGAGTCGGTCAATTGCGGAGAAATTAGAAATTGCTAGATAGTTATCCAAGAAAAGCTGGTCATGTCAATTAAAATTTGAGATGAAATACGTATGAATTCAACACATAATCAATAATTTAACAGGGTTGATTTATCAAAACTTTAACACTTGTCCTCTTGGAACTAAGTGATTAGCCTATGTCGCCAGTATAGTCAGGCCAGCCTGTACATCCATGTACATCCGTGCTGTATGACTGGGCTCTATATTGTTGGTATAAATTATTTTTATTATTATTACTTTCAGATGAATCAGTTGAAGTTACAGGACACTACCGCGAAGATTGCTACTAAAACATTCAAACTGGCAGCTAAGCAGAAGAAAATGTCTATGAAGCTGAATAAGTTAAAACAGAAAAATAAAAGCATTCGAACTCTTTATAAGAAAGTGAAGAACAAAATAAAGATGGTAGGTCTGACATATGCATAATTTATATTTATTTTAATATGTCTGTATTTCTAAAGAATATTTTGGTGCCGAAGTTTGGTTTTGTCAGAAGTTTTCTTCCTTTCAAAAAGAAATGATAAATTAAAGTGTCCTTTATTAATTTATGTTAATATCACGTAAAGTAAGTCATGTCCTTTGAAAATTTGAAAGAAACTTCTATTTTTTTTCTCTTAACAAGAAAAGTATTACACGTGTCATTACGTTTCTTTCTATAATTCTTGATTGCTGAAAATTTGCAGTTTGTTTCTTATGATCTTATTTAGTTTTGTTTATAGAGTTCAATTTTGTGTGTTCTTATTTTTTCCATTTCTTATCTTAATTCAGAGCCATGTAAAGCAAAAGGGAGCAATTAAAAAGCTCGGCAAAAATGTACGCAAAGTGAAAAAGCGGGTTAACAGGAAGCCTACTATATTAGTTGGAAAAATCCGAGATAGACCTGGAGGCAAACGTTATGACATAGTGCATCTAAATAACATAAGAAAAAAATGACAAAAAGAAAACCATACAATATTTGAATATATAAATATTGTTATAAACCATTTTAAATCAATATAGATACTGTTATTAAATTATCTTATATCAACATAGACGAGTATTCTGTCTTCTTTTTCAATGTATGTATATACATTTCATCATCTACCAAATCTATTTTTTTACTTTTAAGACCGAAAATGCTGTTATTATATTCCATTGTACAGTGATATATTTAAGCGAATAACATGTAACTGAGTTTCCTATTCCAAATGTTTTACACTTTCTAAGTATTTTTTCCAAGAGATTTTGCAGAAATCTAAAACGTACCACGATGTAATGGAAGCTTGAAATATTTTGAAAGTAATCTTAGATACGAAAGATATATGAAAAACAAATCTACTACATCATTAATTCAGTTGTACATGTTTTTTCAAGTCAACATCTATAGTTACACGGGATTCAAGAACCATATCTTGCGAGGAATAAACTTATCTGTATATGTTCAAGATAATTACGATTCCTTTCAATAATAATGCCACGTGTTACCAAAGCTAATTTAAGGCTTGCCTTTTCATTACACTTTAGATATCGATTTTTTTCACAAATGCCTATACATTACATAGAGGATATTTGTTTAGTTCAGTGTAAGATCGGAATATATTTCACCGAGTGGGCACCAAAAGGTATATTTCACGAGTGGCGCAGCCACGAGTGAAATATAAACTTTTGGTGTTCACAAGGTGAAATATATTTCGATCTTAAACTAAACTAAGCAAATTTTCTTTTTATTACATGCAAAGAAACGTTTTAAAAAGACATTAAACCTAATACTGAATGAAAAGCGCGCCAAATAATAATACAACGTGACGTCATTTACGACGTCACGTCATTAAGTTGGTACCCAGTACTGTTCACTGAAACAACGTAAGGGGCTTAAATTCAAAACAGTGAAATTATCAAAGTGGTAATTTCACTGTTTCAAACAGTGAAATTACCAATTTTATATCACTGATATATTTCTATAAACCACCGAAAAGCATGTAATAAAACACTATATGACTATTTTAAGTCATGTTTTTTACGAGTTATCCAATAATAAAATTCTTTCTGCAAGGGGAACTATGCTTAGACCACAGCTGTTTTCTCTCGGCCAATCAGAGTAGTTGAAAAGTGTTTGATATATCCCACACATCACAATAAAGTGTTTGATATAACTATCATGTTTGTATTCAACTGAAAGAAAAACCCTGTTATGTGCATGCTTTATGCGGGGAAAATTTCTATGTATATAGTAAAGTTAATAGTTAATTCCCTTCTTAAAAATTAACAGATAGCAATAGTCCTTTGACAAATTTATTTCGTCAGTTCATCATTTTACAAGAATAGTTACTGTATTCGAAAATAAGAAAAAACAAGCAATAATGAAATAAAGTGCGTTTATCAATCTATTTAAATCTATATACATGTATGTACCTACATTTTACGACCGCTTTTGTGCTAATTTTCAGGCCTTGTGCATCGTGCCCGGCTCACTCTTAATAGCAGTCACTGTAGATGTAAATTCATTTTCGATTTGGGAAGAGGGGATTCCACTGGTGGGCAAGGGGTGGAGTTTCCGAACGGTGACTGGGCTGCGGTTGCAACGCTAAGGCAATGCTATGCTTTAAGCCTCAGAGGGACGTTTAAAATATTTTTTCAGTTCATGATTGAGGTAAAAAAAGACAATGCAGGATGTATATGAAGCATACAATAAAAAACGAATATATACGTCAAGTACAATATTTTCAACTTCAGCCGGACAACCAATAAATATCCTGAACCCTAGGGTTGTTTAAGCATTAAGGAAAACGTTTAATGAAAGTTACCTGCCCATTTCTCCAAAAGCCCACTCTTGAGAAGCAGCCATCGCCCATGATTTCTGTCTAAGAGTATTTTTCGGTAAGCAGTTTTGCTTCTTGACTTCTTATTCAAGCGCTGTGTACGGTGTTATGTCACTGAATCATTTAAATGAGGAATCAACAGGAATAACAACAAAGTCTCTCAACTTGCGAAATTATAATAATATCACATTCAGAAATGTTAAATTCGAACTTTTGTGATGGAATGTGAAATCTATCATTCATGTGTATTCAGTAACTTATGAAAGAACATGAATAATGCCATTTTCTTGTGCTTTTTTTGCCTACAATAAGGCCAAATAGATTGAATAAGAACTATTTGGATGTCCCTATGTAATTGTCGGAGAAAAAATCGCTTACGCGTGTTAAATCTTCACCTTAAACAGAGAAAACTACCTGTGGTCTAAGTCAGATAGATAAATCTCACATCCAACTGGTACTCATAATCTATCCTATACTAAATTGTCCTTTGAATTCATGGAGGTAGATGGTTCTGGATAAATCCGTGATATCTCGCGAGTATATAGATATAAGCCAGCCTACTTTCTGAATCCAACATTTAAATTGACATATTCCATATTTAAAATTGGTGATTGGTTGCTTTAATAGGAGTGGTAGCCTAGTGTAGTTTTCTACCTCTCGACACAATATACAATTGGCTGCAGGAATGGCGGGTAGCCTTACTGGGGTCATGGGTGACACCAGTACTGGTTAGTTCCAGAAAGCAGACTCGAAAGAAGTTTAAATAAGCAAAGAAGTTTAAATAAGCGTCAAGCTTTCATCAAAACTCGAGATAAAATTATTTCTGTTTAAAGCTAACCTAATGGCACTTCTACAAAGACGGTGAATTTCCACATATTTAGGATCAATTAGAATACAGAGTGTGACACATACAAACAGTTCGACAAACTTTTGTATTTGGTCAAAATTAAAAAGTTGGTTGGTATGTGACAAAGGTTTCATAGAAATAACAAGACACAAACAGCATATTTATAAATTGTATGTAGTATTTTATTTTTTTTCACGTGTTATAAAGCATGATTAAAAAGCTATGTTTAAAAACAAGGTAAGGAATTATTACTGAGTACAAGCAACAGAGAATAATAAGTAATGTTAAAAAATACAGTTGTAACTTAAGAAATTACATCCTGATTATAGTTAACTTATATTTTGTCTTTGACACTTAAGACATTCTGAAAAACCAAACTACTCCATTCTGTATTCTTTTACAATAGTATCAAAGACGGTAAAAGGAAAGCTAAAGTGCTCTCAAGGCAAGAGGATAAAAAGGGATAAAACAAATAATAAAATGTAAACAAAGTCAAGTAAGAAAATCTGAGTGTAAATGCCAGCATATTAAGAAATTAAATATAAAACACTCTTCTCTCTTAAAAAAAATCTTGTATAGTATCATTATTTTTGCAAGATTTTTACATGATTATGAAATCTTTGTATTTAGTCAACTTGTGAAATAGATCAAGAAAAAACCTCTATTTGCTGTATAGTTTTGTTATTTAAACAAAATCAATTTTTCCATAAACAATTTTGTAAGTTATACAAAAACATTTAAATTTGATTTTTCTTCATTTACTTCACACTAACTAGTGACAAAATAAGATCTCAAAAAGAATACAAACCAACTTCTGGTAGTATTTTTTTCCCAATTATTTGATCTTCCAGAAATATGCTTAAATACAGAATATAATGTAATGTGCACTTTTTTAATATAAACAAGGGTGCCATAGTCACAAAATACGCCCGTTTACGAAAAAGCTTTAGATGGAGATGGGGGCATTATGGATAAGTGTTATCTAGCAAGCAAGTTTTTATTCTTGGCACTGTGTTGTTAAATGAACCTTAAAACAAATCAATAGGGAAGATATGCACAGAATGTGTGACCTTGACCTTGGTCGCAGGGACCTGAATTTTATGCACGGCACTCAGCCTCACAATGATGAACATTTGTGCCAAATTATATTGAAATCCCTCTATGCATGTAGAAGTTTTGCTCCAGACAAGTGTTTTTCTATGAGCTCTAACTGTGACCTTCACCTTTGACCTAGAGACTTGGTTTATGTGCAGGGCACTACATCTCATGGTGGTGAACAATTCTATAAAAGTAACATTAAAAATTCCTCCATGCATGTAGAAAATATGCTCCGGACAACATCTGGATATTTAATCATCTCCAGTGACCTTGACCTTGCAAATATTAACCTAAATTAAATGTGTAACACCTGTAGTCATGATAGTTACCATTTGTGCTACAATCCATCAATAAATGATGACTAAATGGTCCCTATAACCATCTTCAAATTTTTATCTGAACTTTGACCTCTATGTGTAACCTTGACTTTGGTCGCAGGGATCTGAATTTTGCATGCGACACTCAGCCTCACAATGGTGAACATTTGTGCCAAGTTATATTGAAAACCCCCATGAATGTAGAAGTTTTTGCTCCGGACAAGCGTTTTTCAATGAGCTCTAAGTGTGACCTTGACCTTTGACCTGGAGACCTGGATCATGCATGGAGCAATACATATCATGGTGGTGAGCATTTCCATAAAGTATTATAAAAATTCTTCCATACATGTAGGATATATGCTCCAGACAAAATCTGGATATTTCACCATCTTTAGTGACCTTGACCTTGCATATATTGACCTAAAGTACATGTGTCACAGCCGTAGTCATTGTAATGACCATTTGTGTTACAATCCCTCAATAAATGATGATTAAATCGTCCCTATACACATCTTCATATTTTTATCTTTTTTTAAACGGGCGTATAAAAAGTACATGTAATTTAATAACTAAAAAATTCTGATTTAAGATTTTATTCTAGGGAAATACATTTCATTACAATTCTTAATCTTTGAATGAGCTGAACTGATATTTACTTGAAAAATTAAAATATAATTAAATTTCTATGAGAAAGTATTTACATTTGATAAGGTAATTACTGTATGATCTTTATGAACAAATACCAAGTCTACAGAACACCATAGTTATCAGAGTTAAGTATCTTGACCAATGAATGAAACATGTGTAAATAAATGTTACATTCTTTACAACATACTCAAGTCCAAGAAAGAGGATTATTTCATGCCCTTTGATTAAATTCTATTTTTAGAAAATAGATCAAGGGGAGTAATTGTGTAAGTCATTTATGAACAAAGTAATAACTTTGTTGTCTCCCTTTGATTAAATTCTATTTACAAAATCTGGATATTTCATCATCTTTAGTGACCTTGACCTTGTATATATTGACCTAAATTATATGTATCACAGCCATAGTCTTGATAATGACCATTTGTGTTACAATCCCTCAATAAATGATGACTAAATGGTCCATATACACATCTTCATATTTTTATCTGAACTTTGACCTCTATGTGTGACCTTGACCTTGGCCGCAAGGACCTGAATCTGCACGCGACACTCCGCCTCACAATGGTGAACATTTGTGCCAAGTAATATTGAAATCCCTCTATACATGTGGAAGTTTTGCTCCGGACAAGCATTTTTCAATGAGCTCTAAGTGTGACCTTGACCTTTGACCTAGAGACCTGGTTCATGTGCGCGACACTGCTCCTCATAGTGGTGAACATTTATATGAAGTTTCATTAAAATCCCTCCATACATGTAGGAGATATGCTCCGGACAAAAATTGGACGCCGCCGCGCCCGCCCGCCCGCCCGCCCGACCGCCCGCCCGCCAGGGGCGTTCCCATAATACGTCCCGTTTTTCAAACGGGCGTATAAAAAGGAGAGGGTGACGTCTTTCTTTACCTTTGCAATGTAAAAGTGAACTTGAATATATGAAGAAAAAAATATCAGAAAGCCAATACAAATAAACAATTTCTTAAAGCAGATATACAGTATGGGACACAGGCACATACAATGTTTACCCCAGCCATGGCAAGTTCTATTCACTCCAAATATCTACAAACCAATAACAGGAAAAATGCAACTTGAAAGCACCATGTAAATGAAGGAGAATTATGACATTAGCTCTATTATTTTAATATGAACGGCATTACTATTAGCTTCCACAGGTACTTGGAACATTTAAATGAAAGCATTCCCATGAACTTTGACATTAAAGTCAGCTGATTTTTGAGATGAAAAATGAGATTACTGTCAGAATATAGTTGTTATATGACCTATAACAATATAGCTTACTTTTACATATACATAATTATTGTCAGCCTTTATGAGTATAATACTTTGCATTTATTTCTGGCAACCACATATAGGGGAAAAAAAAGAAACAAAAATAAAATGCCAAATTTTTACGGTCACCTAATGAAATGAATAACAAAGCAAAAGAAAAGAACATTGTTTTGATAAGCTATAAAACATGAACAAATCTTTAGCATGAAATATATTTTCTTTTGAAGCCCTGTGGTCATTTCCTATGACAATGTAAGAAACAAATATTGCTTTTGAATTAAAGGGTAAAGCACTATATATGATGATAACTTTTAAAACCTCTTCCCTCGCATAAGCCATTTATGTAATAGGAGTGTATAATGGTAAACATAAGTGGCTTTCCATAATTACTAATACTTTTTGTACCATGTAAACAATTGTGGTCTTCCATGGAAACTGTTAAAAGAATATAAGCAGTAAGGGAGGTAACTAGAATAATTGAAAAGAAATTAAGGAGATTGTCATTACAGGTAAACTATCATTATAATTTACCCCCATTTGCATAACCTTGACCTAGATTGGAAAGCTTCTAACATTTGGGAAGGGAGCAGGGGGGGAGGGGGTGCACAAAAGATATGGGGTCAGAGAAGATAAGTTGGTTAGTAACTTTATATGTATATACAATATATTACATTTAACTGATATGTACACTAATAAAAAATGAACCATTGGCAAAAGCTATCGTGATCTTAAAAAATGAATATGAAAAAAAAAAAAACAAGCTATCACAAATAATAATGAAATAATGTATCACAACACAAGTTTATCATCATTTTAAAAGTTACAGAATCTCTGTTCATCACATAATTAAGCCCCTTTGTGTAAACATTAAACATAATGAATAAAATCCGGGTTCGGACATTCAATACAGTCAGTTATACCTCCAGTATATAGCACATAATGTCCGATGTTAATTCCGAATTATTTTCATAGATATCGAATATCATAACATATCAAAATCTTACTATAAAATACTGTGAAATTCTGAAAAATATCAGTTTTCTAAAGTGGTAAAAAATAAAACAATTCATGCAAAGTTTTACATTTGAAGTAGTAAGTCACAAAACCTGTATGACATTTCATAAAAACTGTGATGAATGACTTGATTTTTTTTATGTTTTCAGCATGTTTCATATTCTCATAAATCAAAAATATACAGTTAAATATTGCTGTCCAAATAGTCATTTCTGTCTTTGAGCTGTAAGAAAAAAGTGTTAAGGTTAGACATAACTTTACTTACTTTTTTAAAAATGTATCATTGACATATAAAAGAACAATGTATTGTTTTCATAAAAAAAAAATCCAAAACATAACCTATTACTCCAGGCATATACTTTTAGGTAGGGAACTTAATGTTTAAAAAGTTGTAAAATCTTATATTTAATCAGTGTATAGTTCAGATTTAAAGTAAATTAAAATCAGTCACAATGACTTTTTTTTATTATAAAATTCCCAATAAAGAACTGTGACCTCTACCATGTGTTAAAGCATAAAATTGTAATAATATGCAAACAAATCCCATTTAAGAGCAAAGTTGGATTTGTCACAAAAAGTGCACCAAAAATACCTAAAAAAAGCCGTTACCATTAATGGTAGTTTGTACATGTGTATGCAATACACATTCTTTTCTGCCACAATGCCATACAGCATTGCCACTCAAACGTAACTTTATTGGCCTGGATTATTCTAAGTAAACAAACATAACAAAACAAATTTCTATATCAAACAACCCTGTATGTTATTTAAGCAGTCATGTGCTGGTAAAGATATAAAATAACATTTGTTCAGCTTGAATGTTGCAATTCCTTCATTTAAATGTCACAAATTGTTTCACTTAAATGTTGTATATTGTTCCACTTAAATGTCTCAAATTGTTTCTCTTAAATGTCACAAATTGTTTCACTTAAATGTTGTATATTGTTCCACTTAAATGTCTCAAATTGTTTCACTTAAATGTTGTATATTGTTCCACTTAAATGTCACAAATTGTTTCACTTAAATGTTGTATATTGTTCCACTTAAATGTCTCAAATTGTTTCACTTAAATGTCAAATTGTTTCACTTAAATGTTGTATTTTGTTCCACTTAAATGTCACAAATTGTTTCACTTAAATGTCACAAATTTGTTGCAATTAATCATTACAAATTGTAACACATTAATGTCACAAATAATTCAAACTTTTGTGTTGCAAATTGTTACAATTAAATGTCACAAATTGTTTTACTAATTTGTCCAAATATGCTTCACTCAAGTGTTGCAACTGATTCTGTAAAATAGAAATCAAAGACCTCATAGTACAACATGAATCAAGATGAAATATTCTTAAAAAAATGAAAAAAAAAGGGGTGAAATGAAAAACCTTTTCCCTTATCCGGGCTAAAACAACAATTAGGGCATTAAAAAGGAAGAATACAAAACCAAATTAAGCCCCAATTTTGCTGATTTCTGTATTACTAATAAAACCCCCTAAGGAAATATTAAAACCCAGATCAATCTAAAATTATCTAATTCATCATACTGTGTAAACAGCAAAAAAAAAAATCATTTTCTCAGGAATCTATAACAAAAAATTCTGTTTAAAATATTCAGGAATGATCAAATTTCTGTTTGCAAAAATGTAGGCCATTTTGGTTTTACCCGAAAATAAATGATCAAAACTGCCTTATTTCCCCAGCATTTGGCCCAAGTTATCTCCCTTTTACAAAATACTTCCAAGATATTTTCTTATATTGATTCTGTTGATAAATTTTTTCTTTACATAAATTACCACAAAAATTCTGATGAAGCATTTTGGTAAAAGGCTTTTTTTCATTACACTGAACTGTAAAAAAATAAAGATTTAAAATATGTAGATATATATCAAATCATTAGACTTTTTATTTACATATTTCAAATCAGAATTGTATTTGCAGCTCAATAAATATTAACAAAAACCTTTAACAAAAATGTTTTGTTTAGAGATATGACACTTAGTTTAGCATAAGCAAACAGTCCTAAAATATCTTAAGTTCCTCATAGAAAAATAATCTTCATTTTGAAGTGGAAAATTCTTACTTGTACAATTAAGTTCACAAATGTTACCAAAATGTTTCATACAATTTTTCATTTTTTTTTTTTTTACCATTTCATAAATATTATAAAAATTGGCTTATTTCTATAATTAAAACAAACATCAATATACACATTTCATATAGATCTATTTGTTATTGACCAATTTCTAAATCCATTAATCACTTACTGAAAATCTTATTTCAGAAATCTATTACTGATCTAATATTTTGCATCCCTTATTTATCTTTTGACCCTCCTTTAATGCAATAAATTGGGTATTTGATCAAATCTCTTTTTCATTAATCAGTTTTTGGCCAACTTCTAGTGCAATATATCAGATATTGACCAGTCACCTGTACCAGTTTTAAGACACAGATATAAAACTTAAAGCATTCTATGCATACAGCAATGATATATCAACAATATACTCAACTTGTATGGGCAATAACCATGCATATCTTACTTAAAATCATCTAATACAGTCTAGTGGTCCCAACCTTAACTTCTGAAATATACAATCAGTCTCTTTTCTCCCTTTTTTTCAAAATAAAAAGAGATCTGAAAGTCTGTTTCCCAGATATGTGCATACGAAAATGAGGCATATATGGTATTTGGGCAAAAAATCATAAAAGAAACGAAAATATAAGAAATAAAATTTGTTATGAAGTACTCTTCTAAAACATGATTTTTAAAAATATGCTTATAAAAAAATGAGTCTGACTTAAACTGTTCCATAAAAATACTACAATGTATAATGAATTTATGAAACTCCATAATCTATCCCAGTACTGATCCTGTATCAAGATGCACAATGCATCATTAATTTATGCTAAATAAATACTTAATTTCTATCTAAGCTATACCTGTACATACAAGTCGAAAATAAAGCCATCCAGCTTATGCTTTTATCCGAAAACTGGAAAACAACACAAACTTTCTTACATTTTAATTATAAACGCATAAAGTCTCTTTTTTTTCCTCCTCTTTTTTTTATATAACATTATATCCCTTCCTTTATATATTAAGAAATTGAATCACAACTCCACTTTGTATGTTGTCACTGTCTTCGTTGTGAAGGGATTACTACTGGCACTGTTTTTGGTCTGAGCTATCTGCTCTTGGCCTGAATTTTTTGCCGCCCAAGCGACATCAAACGGGTCAAAAGTGTCCTCACTTTTCGCAGTGGTTTTAGATTGGTTCTGTGTTGATGAATTACTGGTAGCAGTCTGTTGATACTTAGACGCCCAGTCAGAGTCAGTTGGCCATATATTTTCTCCAGTAGTGGCATTACCGTTTAACTGAAAACTTTGGTGATGTGCCATTTCAAGCAAAGTATGCTTTTTTGTATTTTGTTGTTGTTGTTGCTGCCAAATGGCAACGTTACTAGAGTCCATGGAATGACTTCTGTTGTGTTCGTGCAACAATGGTCGTGTCGTCGTTATAGTAGATCCAGATGTTACGCTGCTAGCCGGTGACGAACTTGCCGTGTTTACAAACGGATTAGTTGAAGGTGATGCCCGGCCAGGGATCATCTCTATATTAGCTGCAGTGGTTCCTGTATGACTTGGAGACCCCCATGGATTGGTCTGGTGCAATGGAGGCGCAGGATGATTGATAACTGGGGTTTAAATTAAAAATTTATCTAAATAAACTATTATATATAAAAATTATACATTTTTTTATAATGTTGAAAAAAAATTGTATTATATTTTACTGAAAAAATTTTATTAATTCAAAAATTTTTCTATAATTTTGCAAAAATTAAAAATTTTTTGAAAAATAATTTAATTTTAATTACAAATTAATGTTTTTTTCCTCTTTCAATGAGTACAAACTGTAAAGATCAATTCCCATTTTGAAAAAAAAAAAAAATTTAGTCTTCCTTTTATTCTTCCAACTTGATAAATTTTTAAGAAAAATTCTAGCATTTCTTACAACATACTTCAAAATATATGCCTTGGACTAAAGATACAATACCTATTAACATATTCACCAGTCAAATGCAACTTAAACAAGAAGCATAAATATTTAAAGTTACGGTAATATAATCAGAATTTTTATTGGTGAGAATTTGAATACTGTTATGGTCATATAGCAGGCTTCAATCTATGCTGGCAGTAGATATATCAAACATCTCAACACAAATGTTTCTGAGTAGAACCATCAACCTTATATAAACTACCAGGAAAATGTCACACATTTTCCTGCGTATAAGGCAGGATTTTCACCAAGGCTGGGAAATGTCATCTTATACCAATCCTCCCCGCCACCAAAAAAACCCAGGAGGAGCAAGCTGTGTGTTTTAAAATGATATCAGCTTACCAACTTCAGAAATAAGTAGCTTGAAGTTGTATATTCTTAATTTATTCATAACCCAAGTGCTATAATTAAAACTTTTTCTTAGTCATCACTTGAGATTTAATTGAAATTTAATATGTAAGAAAAAGGAGCCAACACTAGTTCTTGTCACAGGTGGGAATATCACTATCAGGTATTTCAGCAGGAACATGGTAGAGTCTTGCAACTGCCTTAAATGATAAACTTTGAGCCAGATATTCTGTTTTGTGCCTACAGTCATGATAAGATCACTACATCATTTTATATCATTACTTAAAACAGATCTTTACTTCACACTACTAATAAACATAATACAGTGATTATACAGTGATTATACCTGGTTGAGTTGTATGGAATGTTGCTGGCATTGAATGTTGTTTCACTAGGTAAGCATTTTGTGCGCCCTGAACTGGGGCTGAGGCAAAAGGGTCTTCCGTAAGGGCTGATAAGCCCTGGGTAAGTTGCTGACACATCTGTGAGATAGAATCTTCATTCTCAGGTGAAGGCACCTCATGAATCACTCCATTATTGTTCAGACCTGTAAATAATACATTATATATCAACAACGCTGATGGTCAAATTTTTGCAGTTTTAACAATATTTCCACGGTTTTTATTTTTTGTTGGGTTTAATGTTATATGGCAATTTTCCAGCTTTAATGGTGAAGGAAAACCTCGGGTGTCCCTGTGTGCATTATTTCAGACTCAAACTGGCTTCTGAGTAGAAACACTGGTATTCCTTAAGCTAGCTGGATAGGCTTCAATATTCCTAGCAAGACTCAAGCCTACAGGAATGAGGGGCAATTGGTTTTAAGTCAACAACTATAACCCGTTGTGTCTATTTCTAGGGTCAACTACAACAATATGGCAATCTGCCTCTCAATATATAATATAATAAATTTTCTCCTAGAAATTAAACTAAATATCTTTATTTGTATCATATGATATGGAGAGAATTACATTCATTTCTGTTTCCATCTATTTATTGTATCTAAGACACCTGAGCCAAATATAATTTTGTGTCTAGTGTTAAGCTACAGTTTATAACTGCTTTACAGTCAAATATTAGGATAGGTAACCTACAAATTGGCCTGGATTTGATACCAATTCTTTCTTATTTTCTACAAGTGTACATTTTTAACTTCCAAATATAAATCTTGTAAATAAGTTATACAGGGAAATACAATACAAATACAATACAAAACATGATTTATAGAGCTTATAGTATAAAACTATATATGAAATTGCCTTTGTATAATGCAGAATGTAATTGTAACTAAAATAACCAGGACCTTTAGTGAAATTACACTAAGTTTTTGATTATCACTTACATTATCACGTGCACTGATCAAACATCTTTATTATCTAATTCAAACCCACACAAAATATAACTTTCTCACTTTTTATAGTAATCAAGCACATGTATCAAAAGATAATATAAACAAGGTCAAAGTGAAGTAGCTTACATGCAAGACAAGCTTAAAAATCCACAGGCAATTCTATAATTTCACTTACATTCAGTTATTAATTATTAACCAACGTGGACTAAAAGTGATTAGCCTTTGCCCAGGCTCTTATAATGTTAGTGGCTCATTACTTCCGTATTTTGATACTGATAATTATTCCTTAACGGCCCATTATGCCCTAGAAATGCTTTTATTTTCTATTTCTCAAAAGCTTTTAATTTTCGGAGTACTTTAATGGTTTCCAAACAGTTAACACATTGACTAATTATTTAAACCATCTTTTTTTATGTTGCATTTTGGCCACTAAAATGTGGCGACTAATTATTCTGAATGGAAGTCAAAATAATACTTTGTTTACATTTTGCTACTTTTATGACAAATTATTTCACTTTTTCACATTAAGTGTTACTTACTTCAGGTAACAAGCATCTAGCATGCTCTAAAGCCAATATTTAATTAAATGTTATAAAAATACATGTTTCCCCTTTCTAAAGAAGTAAAATTTATTTGTTTCCGAGGCATAATGTGCCTCTAAACTTTGAAAAGACTGTTCCTTATTTAAAGCTGGGCAAAACCATTACACTAATTCAGAAGAATATGATTAAAGAAAAAAGAAAATCACTATACTTGATTAAGGCTACAAACCTGCTGATTTAGGAGGAGATATTTCCATTGCATTTTGTCTCTGTAATGTGGAAGGCAGCTCATTTAACCTCAGTGACAAGGTTCTTTTGAATGGAGAGGACGCTTCCTGCAGCTTTGAGAAGCCACGGAACGAGCCTTGTCTTACCAACAGATTCTGGCTAGCATGTGGACGCTGCACCGCAAACGGATTGTCTACCTTCTTCACTGGTACTGGTTCTGAAGATATAAAAAATTTCAGGAAATGCAAACTTTTCGTGCAACAACTATATACACTTTTCTACAAAAGAGTAGACGCACTATAAAAAATATTATCTGTGTATATAACCAATAAACTTATATAATAGTCTCTACAGAAAAGGTACATTATTATGTATGTCGCAGCTGCAAGATCAGACCAGATTTAATGAATTCAAATCTATAGTCATATTTTCCTGTAGAAAATTGTTTTCACCTACATGTACCTGAAAGAGTATGTTCTTTGTAAAGAACATAATTGATTTGACTACTTTTGACAACTATAAAACTGAATAATTGCATGTTACATAAAACTGACATTACACATTAAAGCATAAATACTTTTATTGTTAGCATAATCAGTTGATTTATGAAAAATACATAGATACAGTCTGAAGATTATATGCTTACCTGAAAGTACTGAACATAAATTATATAACACAAAATGAAACTACAATCTACACTGCATTTCACCAATTTCAAACAAAATACAGTAATAATAGACACATCAAATCACAAACAAAACAAGTTCATTATATAAAATAGAAACAGAAGGGTCAACTTCTATGACGCAATACTTATTTCATCACTTTATTACGTACCCGCCAATATTGCACTTTGTGGGTCGGTGAGACGTTCAGTCATTGATGTCTGTCTAAATGACCCCATTCTCTCAAATGTTGATCGGTCCTGGCTGTACGTCACCGTCACACTTGTCGTGGACTCTTTGTCACGTTTCTGCTTCCGTTCCAAACATATCGCAAACGCACAACCAACTGCATGGCTTAACCTTTCACCCTGTAGATAAATACACACCTATTGTAAAACATATGTCCAAATATTTTGTAATTAATTCTCAGGTAATATTAATGACTAAAATAACCACGGGGACCGACAAAACAAAAATCAAAAGATGTTAACTTAAAAGCTAAACTCATATACTATTACAGGTTGGTTTATATATGTTGAAGGGAAATTATAAAACAATTAACTCAACCTCGTTATATAAAACCAAAGATATTTTACTAGGAAAGCAAATTTACACATAAAGCAGAGAGGGGTGGGGGTTTTCCTTTACCATTTGAATGGCATGCATAATATTGTACCAATCACCTTTATAAATTTATTACTGAATTAAAATATTATTTAAAGAAAGAATAACATAATAAAAAGAAAACAACATATCAATTTGATATTTTACAAAAGATAAACTACCTATCAAATAAATGAAATTACTTCTATATCAAATTGTAGAAGCTTCTAAATATATACATGTTATGATAAAAATTTCTCCTACTGTTGCCTCAATCAATTTTCTGTTACAGTTTAAAAGTTTACAACATTATAAGTCAAGCTGTACAAGTTACAAATGTATCACACTAATATATAGATTTATTTCTATGGAATTTTAACAACTAGCAACATAAAATTATTTTTTTCTAAAACAAACAAAAAAAAACAACATTTAATCTAATCATTCAATTTTTTTTCATTAAGATGACCTGTATTATCTGATATTATAAGATACCCTTTTTACTAGTATCTGATATTGTGCATGTACTTAAATACAAAATTTAACATCCCATATTATTTCACAATTTTCATTAATTAAGAAGCCATTTAAATAATATTACATTTTTTTTACCAAGATGCCATTTATTTCTAAATCAAGGGACTATTTTAAGATCACATAAGAAAATTACAAGAAAAGCTTAGTAACTTATATAATTAATATGCTATTAACAAATTCACAAAATAACAGTATCTGCTGACCATTATCCTGATGGCTATAACTGAATCTACTGACCAGTGCTGACCACGATCAACCGCCACATTCTTGCCACCTTATATGATGTATCACATGATCTGCACTGTCTGCTTTTCAGTCAATAATTATTTTGAAATTGTCCCTTAATATTATCATGAATGGATTTGCCCAGATTTAAAGATGGACAAGTCCATTTAAGATATTTAGTATGGAAAGGATTATAAGACCTGGCACCCCCTATCCCCAACAAACAAACATGCTTTAAGGGGTATGGTACTGTTAAATAATAATACAGCAAACCAAACAAAAGTGCTGAGAAACTTAAAATGCCATACTTTAAGCAAAGGGTAAACAAATGAAACGTTTTCTTGAAAATAAGTCAGTACATACATTATCTAAAACCCTTTTATGCTAGATGTGCAATTAATTTAGCCTTTGCCAGCTGTGCAGTCTGACCAGGCTCTATACTGTTGGCTTCAACTTCAAATTTTCATCTTGATATCCCCAAAATTTATAATGGACCGTTCCAAAACAGAAGCTAGACAAGTTCATTTATTACATTAGGGTTAAGTGTGATATCTGGTTATAGTCCATGCTGTAAGAATGTTAGCTCATGCTAAAAACAGCCTAATGTGCCTAGTAACATAACAAACACTCGATTATAATTTTGTGACTACACTATTATCTACAATGTCGGATGCTGTAAATATAAAGAAAACACATTTAAAGCTTGCAGTTAGTGACAACAAAGAGCTCAAATACCGTCTGGACACCCAGCAGCAAAAGAAGAAACGAGAATCATGATAAAAAACATTTTTGATGATGAAATGTTTCTCTACAGTGTAACAGTATATATCTTATAATTATACATATAACAAACACGGAGGGGGGACATTTGTCGATAACCATTTATTGGTTGACAATTTCTCATGCATTATAGAGAAGGCTAAACCAATAACCGATTACATCAACACATTTCTCTTTTTCCTGAGAGAGAAGGCTATTCTGTGAACTTTAATAGCTAGCTATATTAGAGTTCATATAAGAGTAAATAGATGTACAATTGGAATATATCTGCTTTATAATGTTATATTAAGTAAATTATTAAAACTATATTATTATATACTTTGTTATTAAGCCTCAATGTGTCCTTGTCAGAATTTACATGTTGGTAATTTTTGGAAATACTTCAATATATTGCAGCTATGTTTAAATAAGATACATACTGGACAAATATTATCCCCTATCAAACTGCATGATTTATTCAAAGTATTTTCTTTTAGTTATGGCGGGGCTTTTGATCTGAACTTTTAGCCTGCTCACAGCAAATGAATCTACCCTGGCAACTAGTGCAGACCAAGATCAGCTGGCACATTAAAACTGCCTGATCATGATCTGTACTTTGCTTTTTAGTCAGTACTTATTTTTGAAAATTTTCTCAAAAATAATGATTTAGTTCACAATGAAAGATGGACGAGTCCCTTTAAGATACTTATCATGGTAATGAAAGATTACTTTTAAGATGAGAACTCTATTTCGTCACCTGTTAACTCCTTATATACCTTAATAGGAGTTAATCTATTACTGCACTAAGGTGACAATATGTTTTAGCACTTAAAGGAAATGAGGCAGGAAGCCTAAAACATTCATGCAGTTTAACTTTATTCTTTGGCAGTCAACACATTAACTTTGGCAATTCATAATCAGTACTTTGACCTTGAAATCACTTTGAAAGCAAAAGTGGACAGCTCAAATTTCAAGCTGGACAAGGCCATTATCAAAATGAAATTTCAACTATTGGCATGAAAATAATTGAACATTATTAGTAACTGACTACACTAACTTTTAATATTTTCTCTTCTATAAATTTTGTAGAAACAACCAAAAGGATGTATAATAATGTATTTAGTTTCTATGTTATAATAACTTTAATGTTTTCAACCTTACATTTCCAACAACATTATATAATGTTGATAATGATAAAAGCGATGAAACTGTTCCCAAAAGAATGTCGCACTTGCATTATGTTTACAGTCATGTAAATAGCCTCCAAGTTATATAACAAAATAGTTATATAAAATGTCTAAAGGTCACAGGGGAGTTTAATACAAGATCAAGTCAACATGGAATAATAACATCATTAATGAGGTTCTCTCAATGATAGCACTATAGCTCAAAAAACTAATTATCTCCTAGGAAAAGAGCTAATAGTCTGTTGTATATATCTCAAAAAGGTAACATAATACTCTCTAATACTAGCACTACCATAAATAATCTTGTAAATGAACACTATTAATTAAAAGGCTAGAGGAATTTTGGTATACTCAAGTTCCATAGGAAATAGACATAGATATTTCATCTGCAAACAGTGTGTAGGCTCACATGATAGAAAAGCCATAAATTACTTTTTTTCTTCGGATTTTCTGTTACACAATGGTATTATGAGAATAATGTGTCCATGATATTTCATAATCACTGTCATTTAGTGGCTTCTAACTTTACACTACATCAAACAATCTAACAATAAGGATTTCTATTTTTAGGCACTAACCAAGAAGATAAGTGCGAGGCATGGTAGGAAAATTGTCTGTTATCATTTTATGAAGATTTATTAATACATTACATAAGACACGGTAGTTCATATAGCTGGATGGATTCAAAACAGAAAATGAGCCGCGTCACGACAAAACCAACATAATGCTTTTGCGACCAGCATGGATCTAGACCAGCCTGCGCATCCGTGCAGTCTGATCAGGATCCATGCTGTTCGCTACCAGTTTCTCTACTTGTTATAGGGTTTGTAAGCCTAATAAGACTGCGCGGATGTGCACGCTGGTCTGGATCCATGCTGGTCACAAACGCATCATGTTGGTTTTGTTGTGACGCGGCTCAAATGTGTATAGACAATTCTGAACAATAATAACAGGTAATAAATTTGCATGTATGGGTGGTAATGAGGGTTTATTGTCCAGTATTTCCCACTGCCATAAAGAATTGACTAGCACACAATGAACTAGAGGGTTTAGATAAAAGCTCACATTACACACATACAATCAAAGCATGTTTTTAATATGTCTGAATTTTATCTAAGTTAATTCTGAGCTTCAAATATTTTATACGAAAAAATTTTAATTTTGAGAAACTTTTTTTTTATTCTTATTTCTTAGGGTCTGTACTCTTAGAGAAAATCAATACTCAATCGAGCTTAAGCCTGTTTCTTGTTTTTAAACAATTCTCTTACAACCCCCTTCCACAAAATTTGGACATTTTGTGTAAACACTGGGCTATATAAAATGGTGCTATTGCAGACCTATGCCACTGGTACAAAGCCAGACTAGCTGGCAAGTCTATACAATCTCACCAGACACAATGTTGTCTGCTTTATATAAAAAACTAACATTTTGAACCCTTGCCAAATATGTCCAAATTAAATGTTTTTTAGGAATAAGACAATAGTTTACCCCCCACCTCCCCCCCCCCACTTTTACTTTAAAAAATTAATCAGACAATCATTTTTGTTCTGGCTCTATCTTATGTATGTCAGATTCATGACCTATTCTCCCTGTATTATTTCTGAGATAGAGAAGAGTACAACCTGTTATCTCTATCAGGGCCATTTCAATTCTATAATATTTTATCAACTTATGTATCAGAGTATCAGAATTAATTAATACTTAGCCCACAATTATAACCCTTAAGCTATTGGAACTAAGACTTAAAAATGGATAGCTTCTGTCACCAGTATGACAATTTTTTTTTTTTTTATTTCTTTATTTTTTTTTTGATACTGAAATCTCTTAAACTGATGTCCAAAATTCAAATCAGGGCCAATTCATTACACAAAAATTGAAATGTCTGCAGGTTGAGAGTTAACATTAGACACAGATATCCTGATTGTAGTAGCTTGGCAAAGACCTCTTTAATAGATCAATACACCAATATCTCTCCTCATCTCTTTATTTTTGTCCGATCAATCTGATACGCGGCCAGTCTGTGATATTATATAAGCCAGAGTGAAGTCTATACTGATACTCTTCTTATGCAAATAGCTGAATATATATTTTCTGTAATGACATATCAAAAACTCAATTACAGCCCTCGCTATTGCCGAAATGAGAAATGCTATCATCTGATCTCAACTTTAACATCAAATGAACAATCATGGATATTGCCCGAATAAAAATCACATCTATGTCACAGGACCGGACGACCTAATTTCTAATATACACGAATCAGGTCATGCTAAACAAGATCTACATCTGTATTATTTACACATGAATATATATGATATATATGGTTATAAATGCATAAATGTATGTACTAATTGATGAAATATTACATATTAAGAAGTTAAGAATTATGTATAAATATAGTAATACATGCTTTGATGTTAATTCAATGCAATTAGCGTTTACCTTAATCTTTTGCTTTCTCCATAATCTCTACAGAAAATAAATGCAACTAAGTGTTAATTAAAACAGTTTTTGTTTTTGTTCTCAGCGTTGTGTTACAATGGTCTTCCAAGTACTCCCGGCAGAAATGGAGAAAATTTAGTATAACCAATAACAGGAATTAACCCGTCAAATAGTTCAACATTATAAGCATTAACAATAGCTGGAAGAATTTCAATAAAAACAAACACATGCCAAATTCTTACTAGACACAAAGAAAAAAGTGAGGACAATAATTCACAAATATTTGAAAAAGTCATGAAAATCAAAATTTGAAATGCTTTCTTCCAAACTGAGGAAATCTTAAAGGGACTCCACTGATTTTTTTTGACAGGCCGATTCTTGAAATAATTTTTTCGAAATTAATTTTCCATTTGATGTAGATTAAGACCAATAACTTGGGTGCAAAACTTCTGCTATTGTAATTTTGAAAATGACCTAAAATTGAAAACCATTGCAATTGTATTTGGCTAAGAATAACACAAAAATACAATTTTCAATTTATTTCTGCGTACATTTCTTTATTATCTTCTGCTGATCTTTCTGTTTGAGTACCCAGGTTGATTTATGCAAGAAATTCAAATTCTATGTTTTTAGGCTTTTTTTTTTATCTCAGTGGAGTCCCTTTAACTACTGTATATACATGTATTCATTAAGGCTGCAATTTAACAGCAGTTGACCACTTTGTTTGACACAATCATATTCAACATTCACCTGTGCTAAAGCATTTGCTTTCTGCTGCAATTTCACAAGAATTCCACAGCAAATTTAGACATTTAACAGCAGTTTAACTCTATGTTTCTCAAGCATTTAACTACTTTGTTGCACACAAGTTTCAGAGGCATTTGACAGCTGTTAAGCATATAAATTTAACAGGTCAAGGAAAAAATGCTAAACTATCCTTCCATTACTAAAAGTTATAAACATGTCTGTAAAAACTTTTAATTCTATTCAAAACAAAATGAACTGTAAAAAAAAAGTGTAAAATAATCCCAGCAAATGTATGAAATATAAAAATAATTTCAACATAAGGCATCAACCTATCAATGTAAAATATATTCAAATAAATGTAACCTTAAATCTCGTAACATTAACTTTGGACACAGGTGTCTTCAAAGACAAGCTGCATCATCTAATCTTAACTATATCAAAGTTCCACCTGAATTTCCATTCTTGACCTTTATTTTCTCCATATCTGCCAACAAAGTGTACTTACTTCAGACTTTTGCTTAAAATAAGCTTTAACACTCTGTCATGCTTTAAACAAACTTAACATACACAGACTTTTAACCTTTAACCTGCTGGTTTCTGAACAGATAAGCCTACTCTACCAGTATATAGCCAGGCCGGCCTGCATTTCCCTGCAGTCTGACCAACCTTTACACTGTAGTTAGCTCAATTTTTGTATTTTGATACTGACACCCCTTAAAATTCAAATCGACTAATCCAAATCTATAGCAGGGCAAGTCCATTACAAAAATTCAGCAGGTTAAGGGTCAATTATCAACTACTGTTTATTGTTTTATCAGTAGTAAAGCATTTTACCATTAACATGAAAATCATAAACATAGGATCGGTATGCTACATAACAAATGAACTGAAAAACACATGCACTAATACTGGATGTATATTTCATATTTTTGTTCCTTTGAAATGCCATCAATCATAAAGTTGCTAGTTAACATTAAATTTATCCAAGGCTAATTGATTAATTAACTATATCTGTCCTAAATAATTTAGATTTTTTTGGTCAGAAATAGGGTTTTGTAAGATTGAAGTTGGTACACAAATTTATGGTGCCAAAACGACTTCTACAAAAGGACATTCAAAGGAATAAAACTCTTTTTAACATCACTTAAAACTAGGTATAATCAATTCAATGTTTTATTTGTTTATGGAATTCATTATCATCTAATGTCAAATATCAAAATTTCTACAATCTAAACCAAATTCCAAATCTAAAGTGTGTTTTCCACCACCCTCTCCCTCAGTAGATAAAATCTAAATACAAATAATTATATAAATGTATGGTTGAAAAATGGTATAATACTTAACAAATGAGCAAAGAAAACAAAGTGACATCTTTAAGAGTTAGATTAATAGAAAACAAATAGGACAAAGTTTCAATTTCATTATTTACATTCTTATATAATACTGAAATCTTTAACTAATTAGCATACACCCCATATAAAGATGGCATTTCAACAAGCATAATTTAACAAAATGGCTCATTTATATTCTAACAACAACAAAAACAACAGTAGCAATTAATAATTAATAACTTAATAAGGTAATCAAAAATCAATAATTATATATACATTAATAATACATGTTGAATTAAGTTTTATTTAATGTTCAGCCATGCTTGACACCAGAATCTGCTTTAATTTATCTGTTTTAGATATGACAAAATGTGTGTAGAACGTCTACAAGCACCTAGCTAGCATGATTTTAAGTAATAGATGATTCTATGTTTGTAAAGAAAATGCGACAGAGAGAAAATTTAGAAAGAGTGTTTGGTGTTCAAACTTTCAAGAACATAAAATACAATGAGTGTTTTAAATTATGCATGAACCAAATTGACTACAATCTTAGGTTCTCAAGTGTGTATTTACTTTGAAGACATCTTAGAAGTTTTAGCAACATCTACTGGCTTTGAAATAGTAATCTGTCAAAGGAAATCTATGACATTGGCAACTATACTTTGTTTGACGGCGAAAAATCATATGCCTGCAGTTACCTGCCTCTTTTGAAATAGCCTCAGATTGGAAGATAAGGCAGGTATACGCAAATGCATTTCTGTCTTGCTTGTCAAAAAAGAAATTAACAGCGCCCCCCTCCCCTCACCAAAAAAAATCACAAAGCAGGAGAAAGGGTTTTATGGTGTTTTTTGTTTGTTTTTGTTTTTTTATAATAAAAATCAAACATTCATGTATAAGATGTGATGATGAAGTTTATCAATGATTCCAAGAAAATTTCCCTCTAAAGACAATGTATTGTTCTCACCATGGAAAAATAAGACAAAGTACCCAAAAGGGAGTAAAATATAATGTGGGTGGGGTGTATTAGTACACTAAACAGCTCTAGATAGCAGCAAAGTAAGATAAGAACTTGGAGGATGGGGGGTACAGTGACAGTCACTGGAAGCACTGACAGAAACAAAAGCTTTAAAGAAAACTGTACAAAATGATGGGTGAATAACAACAGCTTGACAACATATTATCATTAAAACCCTGTCATGTGTGTGTGTGTACATAAAACAAAGAATGGTTTCATAAGAAATATGTGTGACTCAAACATAAATCAAAACATCTTACCTTCATCTTTTGGAATTTTCAGAATAATAAATATCAATTTATTTGAACATTTTACACAAATAACAGATATTTTACTAATATCTTGCAGACAAACTTAAAATATTTTTTTCAAATTATTAATTTTATATTAATTTATGTAAGATTTATATAAAAATCATCACATATTTCATGAAACAACCAATGTTGGACCGTGTTTTTTATGACATGAAAAATAATTCTTGTCAATACATAGAAGAAACAGAAATTATGTTATCAACTTGATATACCGATTCTTTGACTGCAAGAAAGCCGTGGCACATCCACCGTCTTGTTGTACCGTCCCTACATATATAAGCAAACCCTTTCTCATGATTTCTGTCCGGGGCACAAAAAGAGACCTTCTCTATGGTCTGATCAACTATCATACTCTGAAACATTAAAATAAAATTCTTATTATCACTTAGTTGTTTTTTAATTAATTTTTTTTCAAATAAAAAAAATCTTTATTTTCTACTACAAACTCAAACTGTTTTTATCACATGCTGACTTTTAAGTTTTTTCCATTGAAAAGAACCCAAATAGTAGCCAAAGCAATATAGCATAATTTTAATGGTTTTTTTCTTGTTGTTATTGTTCCAAGGTACGAACAAGTAGAACTAACAATCTTCAGTGTGCTAGCAGGAAAACTCCCTCATCTAACAGTATTCAACTTTCATACATTAGATTTGTACTTGATCAACAAGCCCAGTGCCCCTCTTGAAATAATGTCACTTATACCCAGGCTTGTATTAAAATCTACCCGGGTTTGTATCAAAATCTACCCAGATTTGTCTTTTTATAAGATGAAAAATTAACTTACAAGAGTAAAGCATGCAATACTATTAACTTGAAACAACAAAGACAACTTTGTGAATATCCATAAACATAATTGTAAGTTTAAATGGCTTGGAAACATATTGATAATGTTTCCAAAAGGTATCAGTTTATCATAGCAGGCATCAGCATTCTTAATCAAGCTTTGAATGGCAGCTTTAGGCCCCACAAATAATAGCTTTGTTTCTGGTGTCCGCCCCATAAAATTACCGCACCAACTTAAGGCAGGATTTTCTCCTTTTATGTACATTGTATATTTATTTTTTTCAGTTTATTAATATTGTTGATTTGAGGCCAAAAACACCTAGGTTCAGTAGTTTACGTAGGTAGGAAGATCTGAAACAGAACTTTTTTTTTCCTCTTGGCCTTGGAATTTTTAATTAAGCATTAAATTGCAGCTTTAAAAGACATAGAAGCAATTAACTTGGCTTTCTCTTTAATGATCGAGCAATTAAAATGTTTAATAGTCATTTCTATCAGATTGCTTTCGTAGAAACTATATTTCCCTTTAAGTTTATAGCAGAGTAATTTTACAGGCTTAATTCAGCATTCTAAGATTACGTTATCAATGTTCAAGGACTTTTCATTGTTTACTTTCCAATTGTCTGAATTTTCGCACATGACCAGAGATCAAAAATTCCACTCGTCGGATTGTAATTACGAGCAGAATTTAAGAGAACTCGATGCAGGACGAGTAGAAAAATGTTGCTTGCACATTGGATTAAGTAGCTTCTTGTCCTGTAGGACGAGCGACTCTGAAAATAACTCTTGATGCCTTACATAATTCTGACATATATAATTATGATATGTAATATATTACCAGTAATTTATATCATTTGACTTTCATCAAATTTTTTACTTTCAGCACATTACATCTATTTTCCCCGCAAATTTCAAAAATGAAATATTTTCCCAACAGCTGTCCAAAAAACCCCCATCTGTTTCAACTATTGTTTTGACTGTTGTTTTTTTTAAGTGGTAGATGACCATTGATCAAAGCAGAACCACCCAAACTACAAATCAGGCTTGATAGCTTTCTCAAATGCACGAAATCAGCGTCTCTTTATTCCAACACGATTAATTTGAACCCACAGCCTTCAGAGTTGACATAAATATATTATCATATTACGATAACATTAACAAACCTTGCTGATTTCATCAACAACCCTCAGAGCGTCACCAGATACATAGAGAATTGCTCGCTGGTACTTTCCTTTACATTTCTGAAGTTACAAAACATTATTGATTATACCGTTATTCACTGTTAACAATGAAATATGCTCATAAAATGACAAATTTATCTAAAAGATTGAAAACTAGACCTAAAACATAGGAAATTAGACTTCACTGTAATACGTTTTCTCAGACAGCAATTAGGTTACATAAAATGATAAGAATGGTGAACTATTGTTTTATCATTCGAACAGAACTAATCCTGACATACACCTTAATTCTTTTTCTTTCTATATTTAATTATCATCATGCATCATCATATTTCAAACACCAAACTTTGTTTGTTTCTCTGTTGTTGTTTTTTTAAAACTAATTTTAAAACAAATTTAGGAATATCTCGCCAGTCGATCCACCTTACTGGCTTTCCTGGACAATTAACAAGTAATTACCAGTTTCTCCACAAGTGACTGACAACTTCTCCACACAATTTCTGAATCAATTTCTTGAAACCAGTAAAACAAGTTGCACAGTTAATAAATGAAATCCTTGCCTTAAAGCTCATCTTACCACACTGAGTTTGTGTAATGAACTTGCTTTCGTCAAAATTAAACAGTCAACAGGAAGATTTACTAAAGAATTTCAGTATCAAAGTATCATAATCAGGCAGCCTAAAATATAGAGGCACACCTGAGTCAAGACTGTACAGACCTTTAAGCTGGCCTGACTTAATACTGGTGGTTTAAATAAGTCAGTATCCATGTCCATAGAATTAAATATTATTGTGTTGGTTCAAACCCAGCCAGGGCCGGGCAAACCCTTGTTTCCTTGCAAAAAAAACTTTAAGCACATTGCTTTGTACTTGCTGGTTCTAGGAATCAACTCAAAAGCATATCTTTATAAAGTTTATAGCTTCCTACACAATAAAACTAAATATAAATTCTGCATAAACTTTTTATTGATGTGTGTCAATTATGATGCTAAAGCAATATTCAACAAGTGAAACTTGACTACATGTTATCACCTATACAAACAGATAAATGTATATAATTATACAAATGGTTATGTATGAATGTATCAAATAACATTTAGTTATGTACATCATATGTACAACTATTGAACTCAGATGAATTACTTTCTTAATACTTAGAGTGGAAATTATTTATTTTAACTTTCCACTTTAAAGCAGCATGCCTCCAGATTCATGCTTATTTTTGTGAAAAATTTGAAAATGTATGTATTTAAAAGTAAAATATTGTGAGGTGAACAAAGAAAATAATTTACACATTGCAATCAGCTCTTACAATCCAAATGAATCCATGCAAATTTCTAAAAAGAGGTCAAAATATGCAAAAATAGCCCTTACTGTGTTAGTCAGGTATGCATTAGTAATGCAGTATAAATATGGTGATAAATACTTCAAAATCAGTCTTTAGTAGCGTGTAACATGTAAACTTGAATATTTTTACCTTTTTGAAAGTCTTAGTAAATTTTTTCAAGTGTGATTTTCTTGAACTATTTTGGTATATTTGGAGGCATGCAGCTTAATATCAATGTTAATGACCTGTCAGCAGTTTAGTCTGGTCACACACAATCGGCTCTTACAATCCATGCAAATAACTAAAAGTAGGTCAAAATATGCAAAAAAGGTGTAACATGTACCGCGACTCAAAACTTGCATTATAAAATATTGTATCAAGATCTATAACCGACTCCTGCAAAACTTACATCTTTGAGTGTTTTCACCGCTTCTTCACACACCTGCATACCACGAGACTCAAACACTTCAACACAACCCAAATACTGAAAATATATACATGTACACTATTTTATTATATATCTAACAATAATAATGTTCAATCAAAATAATAAGACTCTAAACTTAAAGAGATGGTTTCATTTACAAATGTATCCAATTTTTATACATTGTATAGCAAATCTAATACAAGTAAAGACAACATTTTTTGAGATTATGGGTTAAGTAAAGCGCATCTTTAAAATAATTATTACAGGTAATGCCAAAGACAAGTATTTTAGAATGTTTCAAAGTGTATGTAGTATATCCCTATTAGAAAACATATTCATGAACAACTTAAAAAAAAAACACATGCAAAACATCATAATCATTTTTAATTTGCTCAATATATCAACTGACCTTAAGGGTTAAAAATCTACTTGATAATGTCCTTCTTTGAAGGGGGTGGGGGTAGGGTCAATGGTTAATGATATTTATAAAACATATATCCTCGCTATTTACTCAATAATCAAATATAGCAGAATGATAAACCTTATATAACTTCCCTAATTTCAGCCAGAATAATTAACATTTTTATCTCACTATATGTTACAAATAAAATAACGAAACCATTCAGGAAGTAAATGACAGCCTTTCTATTGTTTCCAAATTCATCAGATAAAAATGGAATAGAAGTAAAGAATACAATAATTTATCACATGATTTCCCTTTTTTTATATCAAGTTTTATTACCATTGTTCATTTCCTTATGATTCTCTATATGACAAACATGTAACAAAAGACCCATCAATTCTGAATAGAATACATATACAAGTATTGGTAAATTTTCACAAAAAGACTCAAATTCGCTCAATCAGAAAAAATGTTTTTCCATTAAACCATTCTATGAAATCACTACACAATGCAGATGGTATCTGATGAATAAAAGCAACGATAATGAATTGCCTGCACAACTTGTATACATTGACCATGGCATGCCTCCTGATCTACACAGCCAGTACACCCAGGGACAAAATATTGTACATCTCCATCAAAAAAGCATTAAGCCTTTGCTTCAATACCATCAAACCAGTATAACCCAGTGCCTGATCACACCCTAGAAATTGAGATAATCATCTTAGTAAATACTTCTTGCATATTATATTGCATTATTTAACAATTCCCAAAGTGGTCTCAGCCATTTTATTACAGAAGAGCTATTATGACAGTTAACGCTGAAGAAAATTTAGATCGGGTTTTACCATTACCTTTGTTTCTTTATGACACAATATGACATTTTGTCTGTATTTCAAATGTACTTTTTTGACTGTATACTATCTTATCATTTACAGTACTATCCTAACAGACAACAGTTTCTCTAAAATCAGATAATTATATTTTGTTATTGTTGTCGAGTATAACAAAATACAAACAAAATGTTCTATCTTATCAAAATTAATGTTTAAAATCTAAGAATTATTTTTCTATGGTCGTTTAAATGTTTAACACGGTTATTAAGTAGTTGTTACATGGATAACATGACACCCCCTACTGTAAATACATGTACTAACTGGGTGGTGAATACACCTATATTGATGACGCAATTTTTGATATTATGGCAGCTAGCAACACTCCAGTATCAAGTAAACATGTACATTTTTGTATCTTTACATTTACTGTAGTGACCCAGTTGACCTTATACTCAGCATGCCCATTCACGCACTACAGTGCGTAATTCACGCACAAAATTCTAGATGCACGCATAAAAATTGTAAGCAGGGGGTACATGCACGCAAAGTAAAATCGTCAGAATGAATGTTTGGGATAGCCTATGTACGCTTAATTTTGCCTGGGGACGCATCATACGACCACAAATACGTCAGCGCGTGTCAGTTTATAGGTAGGCAGTCCTATGCACATCGACCCGTGAAGCGATTAGCCAATCAGCGATAACACTTTCAATCATTATCACGCAATAGAGATCAGACTAATGTATACACGCGCTGTACATGTAATTACCAGATATAACACGAGGTGATAATTTAACATCTTTGATCAACAGTTGATTGGAAATTAGCAAATTATACCGACAAAAGGATAAGAATAAATAAGCAAATTTTACCGACAAAAGGATAAGAATATCGACTATTTACGCCGCAAGTTTAAAGACTGTTTTCTCAAATTACAAATGAGTGTAATTTTGAATTATTCTCGAAATTTTCGGCACTTTCTAAGCAAAATTTTGCTTTCGTTTCATTCTTGCAAAAACGTTCTATAAGAGTTTAAATGATTTAACATATTGTGCCGAAATGCCAGGACAACTAACCAAAATACACGTACGCTTTTCTTTGATCCGAAAATTGATCCCGAACATCGGCGATTTCACGTTCGCCGGTAGCTTAAGGTCTTCAGCGTACCCGTTTATATATATGACATGACGTTAATGCCGCATCTGATGAAAAACAAAAATGTTAAAAAGCGGCTTATAAAGTTTTGGAAGCCAGAACTAGTTCGCCGGAATTTCAGAAACCCTAAAATTTTGCAAAAATTCTCAGTTTCCAAGCCAAACATGAAAATGAATTGTTCCTTTATTATTAAATCAGCATTAAATCTTTAAATATCGATCTTCAATTTGCCACCATTTTGAAGATATTTGCTAAAATAATTGTCGATCGGATGAATCTCTAACACACTGTGTGAAGCTGTACACGATTTTCCTATTCATTCCGCTAAACCCTGCCTATATACATTAAGGTTTTTTTTTTTACAAATATAAACTTTTTTTCTGTCTATAGAGTGGACTTATTTAACCAGAATAAAATTTGATTTTGTATAAAAGTGAAAAAAAAAAAAAAAAAACGATTCATGTGTTGATGCATTAAAATGAAATAATTCATGAAAAATATTAACAAAACAAACAATAATTATACTATATTTATACTACATTTATATAAAATGTTCTTACAAACAAAAACATGTTTAAACTTATGTGTACCCCCAGATTTTGAAATGTACCCCCACTTTTCAATGACAGGGGGTACATGTACCCCTACATTTAAAATTGAGTGGGCATGCTGATACTATGCCTGATTGAGCCAAACTGTCAGTCTTGATTAATGTAATACTGATAAATGACCAGTGTCATTAATTATAAAACTTGAAATATGAGACCCAAGCCTTGATAAATCAAATAATTGTAGGGTTGGACCTGAAATAAAAGAACTTTGATCACACAAAGATCTAGGGTGAAATTTTATCTCTCTCCATCTCTCTCAAAAGTAATATGGTAATATAACTGGTGCTGTGTAAGGGAATAAAAGTTGTATATAACCTTTGACCTGATTATGTAACAGCATTTTTCAAACTAAAACTACTAAATAGTCACTTTTGAAGTAAAAGTGAAAATAATTACATTGTATTTATGTACTTTTGCTTGACTGAGAACCAAGCTCTTGAAACTTTTATTTTATACTTTAGACCATGCATTATTTTAAGAAACTACATGTAAGTAATACCCAGGTATTATATGAAGAAACCTGGTGGTGACCAAAGCTGCACAATCATTAAATTTATATTGTATTTGTTTCCTTGCTTCTGTTTTTTCCCTGTGATCAAACTGACACATACAGCACATACAATCAATGATGTGTTTGACCTTTTCAGTATAATTATACATGATTACATCATTATTTTCTTTCACAAACAAGTTTAAAGAATGATTTGTTCCTTTGCTCTTTCTTGCTTAAAGTTTTTGAATTTTGGACTTACAGTCAAACCTGTCTTAAGCAGTCCACATTATAAATATCATTAACTTGTACATGTGTGTAAATTTTTATAATATATCAAATTTTCAAATATAAGTTTGTAATTAAAAGTAATTTAAGATAGTCTTAAGTGTAAACGAGGATTATAAATTAATTAAACTTTTTGTGACCTTAAGTTTTTGAAAAATAATCTCTTGGGTTTTAAAATTTTCCCTTTTAAAAAAAATTCACACTGCCCTATCCATTTTCCCCTCTCTCCCAGCCACTGTTTAACAAACCGGTTTAAAATTTTTAAAAATTTTTTCCAAATACTTTTTTAGGTGAAAAGCACCCTAAACCAAAATGACCAGAATTTGTAAAATAGATTTTTTTTTGTTGGGGGTAAAACAAACTGGTGGCCAGGCCATTTGACGATTTTTCAAATAATTAGGGGTTTTGACGGGTTTATTCTTTTTCTTACTGTTCTGCAGAAAAAAGGGAAAAACATTTTTTTTTTTTTTATTAAAAAAATTTTATACTACAATTTTATTTTTTTTTAATTTAAATATTCAAAAATTTAAAATATCCCAGAAACTTAAAATTTTCCCCCCAAAACCCCCAGCTTTCAAATATATGTTAATTAGTTTGGAACCATACTTTCTTTCCTTGTGGTTTTTTAAAAGAACTTCGGGTACAATAATAATTAGAGAGTGTTTGAAATTGGGAATCCTAGTGTTTAAATTTTTTAATGAAGCTGTCGGGGGTGAGCAAAAAAAATTTTAATATTGATAAAAATAGATAACCTACAGGGGAAAACTTTTCCACTGAAATAAATGGGTACAGGATAAAGGGCAAGTCCCCAGCCCCTAAAAGTATGTGTCTTTATCCATTTCAAAAACACCTGTCATTTTCATTTTAAATATAAAATTAAAATAGATTTTCCCCCGGGGAATTTAAAATATTTTGGGTTTTTTTCCCCAAACAAACTTAGAAAGAAAAGAAACAACGGGTTGTGGAGGGTTGAACAGAAAAAGGGTTTTTTTTCCCAACAAGTTGGGGTACAAGTTTAAAAAAAATTTTTCCACATTTGCCAATTTGCCTTTAAACCCAAAAACTTTTGGGACAAAATTTGTACATTTCTGCATTTTTCAAAAATTCTTTATAATCTCCATTTTTTTAAAATTTTTAAGAAAACACAAAAAAAAATTTAAAAAATCCTTTTACTTTTAAAGAAGCTAATTTTTACTTAAAAGCTTAATAGATTGAATTAAAAAGGGTCAAAAAATAAGCCTGGAACAATTAAGGACAAGTGTTCCAAAAACACA